AATGCAAGAAAAACTTTTTTATTTATTATACGAAAATAATTTATTTCATTAGAAACTTTTCTTTTCCCCATCGTCTAGATTTTCGATATCTTGTATCTCTGAAATTCTAAGCTCTTATAAATTTCTGTAAGAATAAAAAGCTTAAATATCTTTTCACCGAAAAAATATGACTATTTTTCTTAACTCACCTAATTAGCTGTCGAATACATTACATTAATGTTTCTGTTGGTAATTTTTATTTGCATCCTGAAAATATGTAATACCTTTTTATTGCGTAATATAATATCATTCTAAAAAATGTACGTAGTTATAGTGTTCGTTAACTACAGTTTACTTGTATATGAATTATAAGTATGGCGACAATTTCACCTGTTAAAGGGAAAAGTGTTCTACATTACAAGCCGTTTGTTCTGTTCGAATTTATTCATTTAAAACACCATTTCTCTTTACAGTAATCGAGGAATAAAAGTTACAAATACACGATAGCTATGTATATCACATATTATTATAAAAATGATAAATAATTATTAAACAAAAATAATATATTATAATTATTAAAATCAGAAAGAATGATAATGTTATACAAGCTCATTTTGTATTCATCTAAGTGAATAATCATTTTAATTTAATATGCAATCGAATATGATTTGTAATATGATATTACAAATTGCACTAAATTATAATATGAAATTAGTTATATGAGATTATTGTCTCAAATCTATTAAATAAGCATACAAACATGCATGGCAATAACAATAAGAATGAGAACGCATTCACAATTAATAATATTATCAATGAATAAATTAACTAGTTTATCAAGACAACTAATTATTTTGAAATTTAATGCACTATGTACCATTCATAGCTGTATTGTTAGAAATACAAGGTTTTATTATTAGAATATCTTTGGAATTGCATTTCTTTGTTCATTTAGAAATTATTTTCACCAAAAACAAGCAATGTTTTTCTGCTATGTAAGTCACATTGTTCAAATATTAAATATTTAATCAAATATAATTTGTGTTAGTAGAAATTTTAATTTAAAGTTATACTATATTCGAAAGGAAATTATATATGAACAATATAATATATTACAATATTACGTATGTATGTACACAATAATATAATTATATTATTATAAATTTAGACAACAAATTATTTGATCTAGATGAAATTGAATTCCTGGGCACATACATTATTACTCTTATGAGTTTTATGGAACCTGTTGTCTAATAAAAGAAAACTATTTTATAATTAAATTGATACGAATATGGAGACACAAATTAATACACGCAGCTCATCGCAAAAATATCTACACACAATGTTATATAAGAAATTTCTATAAATTGCTATTTATGTAGCACAACTTAGTCAGCCCTACACAAAGAAAAGCCTTCTTTTGCTTACGCAGTTTGGATCTATAATTATATTCTAAAAATTTTCTTAAATCTACTATCTCTTCCTAAAGTCTTACAAAAAGCATTAAATAAAATAAGCATGCCCAAGGTATATGAACATTTGTTAAAAATAAGAACAAGTTTTTCTGTTTCGTGCAAAATTCGTAAAAAATTCCATGGCATTCGCTTGGTCCAAGGACAGCATTTTACAAATTTGTAAAATGACGTCATTAATCTGAAATATTGAACATTCTGAGGTATAAATAATATATTATAAATTTTAAAATAATAAATGTTATAGTATAGCTAACTTGCATAAAAACAGATACACATTAAATTTTTTATTCAATCCCTGGAAATATGCAAACTTCCAATCTTCTGTAGAACAAAATCTTAAACAAAGATGTTATATATTGTATGTTATAACATACATAATTTTTATTACATAATATTTTGCACCTCTAAAATGGCATAATCAGGTTCTAAACATATTCGAAACTTTCTAGTTAAAATTCATTATATAAAATCTATTAATAAAGACTTTACTTTGTGCCATGCCTTGATTATTATAAAATTTATATTATGAAGAACTGTAACAAGTAACAAGGCATGTAAAGCATATGATAAAAAACAGATAATGAAAATTAAATTTTAAAGGGCTAAAACTGTTGAAGACTGATCGTAATTTTCATATTTTGAAAGATTAAAAAGTTCTTTCTTGCTTTTACAAACTGACCTATGCTAGGTTTAGCATAGACCTTTTACAAACTGACCTTTCTTTATTGTGGGAGACGTCATACTTTAACACGTTTCACCTTCGGATCTAAGAATAATAATATAGAGCGATGTTAAATATTTTACAAATTTTCATGTTAAAGACTGATTCTCATATTGCAAAAAAACTATGGAGTAAAATAAAACTTACTTAGTTACCATCCTCTAAGCAAAGCATATAAATCAATAGCATGTAATTGGAATTTCAATAACCACAAACAATTAGTACAACAAACACTGCATAATTATGCTAAATGGATCATTATAAAGTGTTTAGCAAAATGAAAGAAATGGATAAAAAAAATTCAAAACAAAAAATTTTTATTCCAATAGAAAACCTCAAAGACTTAAACTTCCAATATTGGTTTTAAAATTTATAAAATATAAAATTTAATTTAATATTTATGTAATAACAATTTTCAGAACTATTATTAAATTATAAATTTTTTTACTATTCAAAAAATTTTTATATAAATTTAAATAAATAATAAATATTAAATATTAAATTAAATAAATTATATGAAAATTGCTTAAATCCTGGGAATAGAAGGAATTTTGCATTATTTTGTTTTTTTTTTTATTTTTTTGTGCAAATATTATACAAGAAATTAAACAACACATAAAAACTCTTAAGAAATTTCATTTAAATAAATTATGATTGAAATCTAAAGAGATATGAAAATTATTTACGAAAAATTTCAAAATTTGCTAAATTAATTGAGAATAAATTTTGAGTAATAAATTTCAATAAAATATTTTTGTATAATTTAGAAATATTTTTTATTTAATATATTGACTTAATAAATATTAAAGAGTAAATCTTTGACTAAATACGGAAATGCGATATATAAACACAATTTTTGTTAATAAATTTTTCAATATTAATTGGTAAATTTATGAAAAAAAAATATCAATTTTAATATTTCTTCTTAGATAAGAAATGATTTGAAAGGATATTAGTTAAGAAATTTTTTTAATTATAATTTAATAGTATCAAATATATGCAAATATGTTTTTGAGGTACTTTCAAGGGTTGTCACCGAAATCAATAAAATAAATAAATTGAATCTTAAATTTCAATTGATAATTTGAACGTATGTTCGAAGAATATAATACATTTACGAAGAATACAATACATAGACAGAAGAATATGTTTTTTGTCAGCTTCGAATTCTAAATATATTTAACAATGTCTGTCCGTCTATCTGTCAGTTCCAAAGAAAACTTAAAAACTAATTCTGCTAAATTCACCAAATTCACAAATAGATAATAAAAGTAAATGCCGGAACTTCATTTAAATTGGATGTGAACGAGACAGTGATTCGGGTAGCTGCCCTACAATTTCAAAAACTATTTGGATATATTTTAGAAATAATTGAAGTTATAGTATCGAAATTTGTCACAAGCAAATATATTATTGAGGCTATTATATTAAAAAAATTAGTTGATAATAACTTAGAAATTGGTCAAGTTACAGTACTGAAATTTTGCAAATATAACTATGGTAAAATAACCATCATTTTCAGTAGAAGAACTTAACATATCACGAACATCAAAAGTTATATCTGGCTAGATCTCTAAAATGATAGAATCTTCAGTATGAAATTTTGCACAGGCAAATATTTTATTAGGATTCTTATGTTTACAATGAAACTAGTTCAATTAAAATTTTTTGAATTGCGGTGGTAGCTGCCATTCAACTTCAAAAGTCACTTGATTGTGTATTATTAAAACTATTGAAATTACAGTTTTCAATAGATTAGAAGTTTTCGATAGTTTTCGAAGACGATAATTTTCAATAAAATTGCTTTGAAATATTTTGGGTGTATGTGGTGACCGACATATACATATGTATAACGAAACTATTCATATAAAAAACCAGGAATATGTGTGAAACAGTGCAGATTCTATGTGTGAAACAGTATTCATTCAGTACAGATATCACAAAGCTGACACTGTCAACTCTGCCTATTCTTCTTTTAATTTAAATTAAGTTTTAATATAAATTATTGAGAATATTATTTGATGTATCACTTAAAAGAAAGGCATATTCGATTCCGTTAAAGAAATAAGGCATTTCAGTAGTTTATGAAAACATCTGGAATTTTATTAAGAAACTAATCAGTCGCCCCATAGAATGTCAAGAATATTATGAAATTTGACTAAAGGATAGCCTTTTGATAATTAGTTCAATAAAAATATCAAAAATAATTATGTTTTCAATATAAAATAAAACTTATTTCATAAAAAAATTTGTACAGAAAGCCTCAAAACATTCTTCACATATTGGATGCGAACTTAAAAATTTTCGAAAATTTGAAAACTTTTTAAATAAGAATTGGATAACAAAAATTTCCAAAGACTCAAGTGTGTTTAAGGATTTCTATTTGTTTAAAAAGTTTTAATATTAATTTTATAAACTTTTCATTTTATTAATACGAGTATCATTTTTTAAAAAATATTTTAAAATTTTTTTTATATTAAAATATTTATAGCTAGTTGAAATTTTAAATGAAATAGAAAAAAAACCAAAGATAAATAAATTTTTAAGGAATCAAAAATATTATAGGAAAAATTCAATCTATATTGACTTTTACTCTAAATAAAGTAAAAACAAAAAAAAAACCAATCTAATAAAGTAGAAAAAACTGACCTTAAAAAAGTTATTAAAAATTTAATTTTTTTTTCCTTTTTCCTTTTGTTTTCGTTTTTTTTTCTGATTTGTCCTTGTTCTTTTCATTTTATAAGAATTCTTTAAAATTTTCTCGTATTTCAATAATAAATTTTTTATTCTCATATTTTTTCTTTTTGTTTTTTATAAAATTTCAGATCCACCATTGGTCACATTAAGATTAGGTTCAACATTATCACCGGTCGATATAAAAGAGGGTGACGATGTTTATTTTGAATGTCACGTCCAATCGAATCCCCAATGGAGGAAATTGTTATGGTTACATAATGTAAGTTTTTATTTCATTTTTCTAGAGAATTTCCTTTACATATTTCCTATTTAGATTATTATTACTTAAAGTAATTTGATTTTCTTACTTTTATTTTTTGTGTTTTTATATTCTTGTTTTTGTTTTTTTTTCGGAAATATCCTTAAAACGTTTATTAAGTATTTTGCAAAAGAGGAACTCATAATATTTTGTTATTTTTGTTTTTATTATTGGTTTGGAACTTTTTTGAAATTTTAGATTGAAAAAAGTTAAACCGAAACAAAAAAAAAATCACAAACAAAAAGAACAAAAAAAGGAGCAATATGATCCAAAAAAAAAAAGTGAAAAATTTATAATCTGAACAAGGATTCGATATATTTTCACTTTATTTGTTTAATAAAAATTGAAAAATTGATTTTAAAAAGTTCTAAAAATTGTATACCCACACAAATACATACTTATACTCGTATATATATATATATGAAGAAAAAGAAGAAAGAAAACAAAAAAGTGCCTCAAAACCTTTAACTTTTTGATTGTTTCTGACACATTTATGACATTATTAAATAAAGAACTGGAAGATTGAAAAAAAATCATACTTTTATTGATGTAGGTCATAATGTTTTACGAGTTATTTTAGTTTAATCATAATTTTCTGTACACAAAGTGTTTACATATTTAATTGAGAAAGCCAGAATATACACTCACTTTAAAAGAAATGATCTATAAATCACAAATTAAAATATTATATCTGTGGTATTGAAGCAAAATTTGCTATGTCCAATCAGGAAAAAATTGAGATTTTTCCAACTTTCTGAAATTAGTACTACTAGAATTAGCTTTACTTAAAATTTTTCAAAAAACCATTTAAAATATTTAGATTTCGAAATTTTCCAACGTAAATTTTACTAACAAATCTAAAATTTTATGTTAGATTTAATTTGAATCAACTTTTTTATTTTAATTTTAAAAGAAATGTAAATAATTACTAAAAAAAAAATTAATTCATTATCACAGTCAAAATATCTACTATCCATCTGAGATTTTTCAAAATCATACAACACTAAAATGAATTATTTAAACTTTGAAATTCTTAAAATAACTCAAATTATAGCACGTGAAATTCTTCATAACGTTATACAAAAATTGTTAATTTTTGCATAAATGCAATAATTTGGATGGTTTTAGTATTTTGATTAAAAAATATGATATTAAATGAATAGATGTCGGGTTATTATATGATATTAGATGAATAGAAGGGAATTAAGAACGGTTGTTTATGGTTTTTCCTTAAAATTATTTTATCAAATTTCGAGAAATTTTTTTCACATTAATTAAACTACACTGCTCTGTCCGAATTCAAGTAAATTGGAGTGGAATTTTGAATATGACTCGTATGAATATTGTAATATCCCTTCTGTGGATAGATAACTTTGACAAATCTACATTATTGGCACTAATTAAAATTATTCATAAAGTACCTTGAATAAGTTTCAAAACTAAAACTCAAAATCAAACATAAAAATTTCGAAAAACCAAAAGTAAAATGTCAGCTCTTCAACATAATTGAGGTAAAACTCTATTTGGAAAGTAACTGGAAATTAATAACCAAAAATATTTTTAACGTTTGAGAATCTTTTTCTTTCTCCTGTAAATAATAAACACAACCTTAAATTAAATATTTAACTTGCACACTTATTTTTTATCTAAAATCTATAATTTAAAAAAACAATTTTTTTTTTAAAAAGTTTTTTCTTGTTTATACCCGAACTCTTTATGAATATGAAAATTTTTATTTTAAATTAAATACCAAATCTCATGTTTTCTTTCTTGTTTAGTTTCTTTTACAAACACATACAAAATTTATAAAATAAATACATATATTTTCCAAAAATTTTAAAAGAAAAATAAAAATTTGTTGCTACTAGTGACTTTTTGTTATTCAATATTTTTTAAACTTTTTCTTTTTACTCATCCTATCCTTTTATCCCTCTGCGAAATTTACACAAAACAAAAAAAGGATATATGAGATGTAAATAATATTAATTATTGGTAAACAAGGTAATATTCTTTTTTTCCTTTTCTCTGTGTATAACTTTTGAGCTATAAGATAATACTTTTTAAAACAATTCTTTAAAGTCATTGTTTATCTATATATATATATATATATATATATATATATATATATCTAGTTCCATCTATAGTACTTTTACAATAGAGAACAAGGTATATAGATTTCATATACAAAATTGAAATTGAAAATTAGAAACTAATAAAAAGAACTGGTAATAAATTCAATTTACAAATTTAAAAAAAAAAGAAAACACAGGAAAGAAAAACTTTTTTAAGAGATAAAAGGAAACTTTGTTTTAGTTAGTTAAGTATTTTAATACTGAAAGAAATTAAAACAAAAAAAAACACAATCCGATCAAGGAATAAGGAAAAAATCTAATTACAAAGTTGGAAAATTATTTTAGTTGTCATGTTTAAAATAAGATACTCAGGTTTTTTTAATAATTTATTGAAAAAAAATTTGTTATATAAAAAGATTATCATTTTTAGTTTTAATTTAATTTCAAAAATTTTATTTTCATTTCATTATCATTTCAATTTATTAAATTTAAAATTTTATTTCAATAAAACTTTAGAGAAAATTTTACTATAGTATATGAGACAATTTGTATTCAATATTTTTATAGCAATTTTATTAATAATATTAATTTTATTGGTTTAAATAAGAGCACTGGTGAATTCCACGTTAAATATAATTTGTTAAAAATTTTCCTATTTTCATGTTTTTTTTTAAATTTTCTTGGTAAACAAGTGCAAAATTTTAATCACCATGTGTTTAAAGAAGTATGTTAAGTAAATTATAGTAGCCACATGTAATCTGAAATTTTCTTTAATGTTCTTATTTGGAAATTATCTCCTTTTCAAAAGATGATTTTTAATTACAGTAGTCCAAAGTAAATGAATACTTGTTCGACCTTATTAAACAGAAATGGAAAGTTTACACGGAAATAGTTACTACTGTCTACTGGAAATAGTTACTACTGGAAATAGTTACTATCTGAAATAGTTACTACCGTCTTTTAAATTGCTAAAACTAAATTTTAAAAAATTAAATTTTGTTCTCATAATATGAACCGATGTCGAACATAGTGGAACTGATAATTTCATGAAATTTCACAATAATTATTTGCCAGTAGTTGGTTCATATATCTCTTTTTGAACGTAAACCTTTAATGAAAAATGTAATTTTTACAAATTTCAAAAAAAGAAATTTCTTCGCATTGTACACAGTCTGCTATAAAAAGTTAATTAACAAATACTACTGAAGGACAAAGCAGCAAACCACCTGACGGAAATTCCTATATTATCTTGTATTGTCGATGCCAATTATGTTTACGTTTCAATTTTCTCGTTTTCAATTTTCTGAAATAAGTTTCTTTTGAAGAAACCCCTAGTACCAATTACAGGATTGCTGTTATATGAACAGTAAACGAATGTTAACGTAAAATTTTCAATTTAGATTTCTTTTTAATTTCTGTTTTATTTGATTCTATTTTATATTTTTTTTTTTGATGAGTCTCTTATATGTGAATATTTTTGTTGTGAAGTGGAAGCGGTTTTTTCGCATTGAAAATATTTTTAAAAGACTTTAATAACAAATCATTGTATGACATTTTTGACGTGCTAACCCTTAGTTTTGAACACACTGTCTTTATAAAATTTTCATTTAGTTTATTGGAAACAGTCTAAAACCTTTATAAAATTGATCATCTACTTCAGGGGTCGACAACTATACTTGAGTCTTTTCTTACATTGAAATGTAGCTTAAGCAGAATTGAGAGTTTCATATTTATTATATGTACTTATTTTTGCATGTTGCTAGCGACGCAAAACTCATTCCTTTGCAAAAAAGTCATAACAATGCGTTTGTGAAATCATTAATAAAGAATTAATGTTAAGTCCACTTTTCATTAAATTCTTGATTTTCGTCATTAATTTTTCTCTTCTTTTTCATTTTATTAAATATTTCTACGATAAAATAAGAATAATTTTACCAATAAATTAAGAATAACATGTACTTTTCATTACCTATTGTAGTGAAATATCATACGCTTCTAAATTTCAACGTGTAACGTGTTGAAAATGCTCAAATGAACATACAGCAGCAAACTAGTAAAATGAAAGAATGTTACACTTTCTAGTATAGAGAATGGCAATCAAGCTTCCACACTGTAAAATCAGTTTCTCACTCTGCTTTTGTTAGAGCGCATTTTCGTCCCCAATTACACTTCTTCTTCACTTTCACGCTTTATAAGTTTAATGACTTTTTTAATTTATTTAAAAAAAATTTCTAAGAATATTTTGGTCACTCAGCGGACCACACAAAAAAATTGCCAACCTCTGCTTTACTTGGTTTTCCTGCAATGCTATCCTCAACTCAATAAAATTCAGAAAGAATGTCTTAAAGAAGATAAAAATCCGTATCTTATTCACAAATTTCTTCTCTCTTTACGAAAATAGTTTCAATTAAGTAAAGCAAATAATAATTAGTTTGAACTTTTTTTCAATAATGAAGATAATTTTAGTCTTACAATAACAACACACACTCTTTTTTTTTAAGTTTTAACCCTCTTTTATTAAAAAGTTTTAAATTTACTTTTAAAGTTTCAATTTACACTCATTCTTTTTTGGTTTCATTATTCTTGTTTTCTCATGCATTTTTACTCCTTCACTCCTGTATTTCAAATTTTATTTTTGCTTTGTATTCTTTTTCTTTTTTTTTAATTCTTTATTACTCTGAAAAGTAAGCAAAAATTTATTTAATTGTTATTTACTCTACTTTTTAAAATTTATTTTTATTTCTCTTTTAATTTATATATGTATATATCTATATATTGTAAATTTTTCATTGTTTTTGTACATTTAAATGAATCTTTTTATAAATATTTACAAAGAATTTATTTTTAATCCGAACAATACAAAAAAGTAGGGGGTTTCTATATACAACTACAGTTTGTATAAATAAACATAAATATGTGCAAAATATTATGTACATTTGAATTTATAAATACAGAGTCAAAAATATTTACGATAGAAAATGCCTACACGATTAAAATATATTATATTAAGAAATTATATGGTTCAAATATCTGGAAAATGAAGAAGTCCATTCTGCAACTTATTATACATTTCGAGCATGTTAATGATATTCTCAAGCCCACACAACACAATAAGTGTAGGTGGAATACTAGTAGAATAGTATCATTCATATAGTATTTACTAATTTAGTTTACTTTAAAATTTTATGCTACATACAAGCAGCAAATTATGTAAATCAAGCTTTTTTTATCCTTTTTATGTTAGTGCCTGCGTATAAATATTCCACAACATTTATTTTAAATATTCTGTAAGATATCTTTAACTAGCAAAATAGGTCAATGTGAAAGCTTACATTATTTTTAAAAATTATATTTAAACTTCATATTCTATAAATGCTCTCTTCTTGCTAAAATAATTTATTTCAATTTTTCTACAGGTTTCAGAAAATCATAAAAAAAAGTATTTTTAATGGATTTCACACAATTTCCTAATCACAATTTCTCTAATTGACAACAATTCGCATTTCAATTGAACTTTTCGAAATTTTTTACAAAACTTCAAATTTTTCGATAAATTTAAGAAATAATGAAAAATTTTTTTCATATTCGCCATATTCGCCTTGTATTGGCGAATATGTAAGCAATCCTATATTTATATTCACGCGACATTTAACAAGAAATCCAAAATAAAATTATAAAAAATATTTAATTTTCGAGTAAAAAATTGATTAATTTAGCCACCTTTAAAGTAGTCTTCTATTTTAGTGTGACAATATAATTTAAACTACTTTCTATCATCTATGTACTGAGCAGTTTCAGAAATACTCAAATATTTTTCATTAATTTATTCAATTTCAATTAAATTTTATAACAAACTGTAGATTTTCCATTTTAATTTGATTTTTTCTTTTATTTTTGTTTTTATACATATTTTGCTTACCCATTTGTTGTCTAAATACTAATTCCTATTTATCCAATAAGTTTGCTTTTGACAAAAATGACTCCATATATTAATATTAAAGACTCGTCTTACTCTGATCCCTTATTTTACACTCCTTACAATTTTTATTTTCTACTTAAAGTTGTTTGTATTATTTTCTTCTCTTTTTTGTTTTGTTTTTTTTTTTTGTTGTACGTTTTTCTTGTCTTTATTATTTTTATTACTTATTTATTCATTTATTTTTCTTCTTATTTCGATCTTATTCTATCTCATAAATAACATCGTTATTGTCGTCATGAATATCTTATAAGAATGTACATTCCAATTTTAACAACTTCCCACACACATACAAAATATTTATGTCAAAGGATTAAAAAAAAAATGCACAGTTCAAAATATAAAGACAAAAACAGAAAGAATAGGAATAAAAGGAAATATAAACAAGGAAGTACACATACACTACACTAACATATAAAAGAAAAAACAATAAAAAGTGAAATAAGAAAATTTATACGTTTCATAAATCCATCAGAAGAGTATTTAATACTTAATTTTATTTTATTATTAAAAATACATTCGAAAAAAGAAAAAACAAAAAGAACAAAAAATGGCAAAAGTTCATATGATTTCTCGCTCTCTTTGCAATAAGAAAAGTAATAAGAATAATAAAAAAGAGAAAATAATAAGAACAACAAAATTATGTATAAAATAAAAATCATTTGATATCCTTAAAAAGATTAATGATAATCCTGTTAAAACAAAATTATCCTTTGAATTACTTCCCTTTTTTTCTGCTTCTAATGCCAAAAAAAAAAGAGAGAAAATAATTTTTTTTAATGCATATGTTTGTTTTCTTCGAATTCAAATATTAAATTAAAAATAAAAAAAAAAACAAGGCAAATGGTGAGAGAATAGGGGTGAACAATAACAAGGATTATTTTCAACAAAATAACAGGATTATAAGAAAATTTTTTGAATTTTTTCTTTTAAAATTTTATTCTTTTAACAAATTCTGTAATTTAATTTTTTTTTATTTTAACAAAAAGAAAAGCAAGTACAAATATTCATACATACAATAAATTCTGTTTAAAAAAAAAAAATTTAATATGAATTCTTTAAAATATTAAATAAAAAAAAACAAAAAGGATTTTTATTTTCAAGAAAATTATCCTTATACTGTATGTAAGAACATAATTTTTTAAAAAGATGTGTAGGATATTCAAAAAAGTAAGTACTTCAGTGCTAACGAACTCATTATCTGGGTATATTCTTATGTCAAATTCCTAAACTTTCTGGAATTGCTAAAAACTTAAAACAAAAAGTAGTGGTGAGAGTTGATGGCGCACAATCAAAAGTAAGCTGTAAAAGTGGACCCAAATGGTACCTCCTCCGTCTATTATTTCTCTTTCTTTTCAACTGCTCTGTCCAGGTCTTTTATTTTTAATAGTTTCCATAAACACCTTGGGTAAAATCGAGCAACTTTGCGCCGACACTTAACCGAGATTGAGAAGAACATTTGAGATTTGACTTGTATACTAATAATTAATTTGACTGTACTGTAATTTATAAATAATGTGTACTAATAATTTGCGTACTATTGCTTGTATTAATTAAATAACGATTCAATAATTTATTAAAATGTCCTTTTCAATTATAACTAGCATTTAAACCAAAAAACCTGAAATCTTTTTCTAAAATAGCAATATTGAAGTAGATGCATTTAGGATATTATTAAAAAAATGTTATATGTGTACATGCATATACCTTGCTTTAAGTTAAAATGTAAGAATAATTATATAAATCAAAAATATTTTTAAGAAAGTTATGACTTTAGTACAAGAACGTGTAAAAATGTGTGTTTTCATAACTTCTTATGGTAGTTTCTCATTAAAAAATAGTAACTCCATATGTTCCGCTGGGTCAGTTTTCAAAAACTCTGGAAAAATACCCTATAGTATTCATATTAAATAATCTTTAAATAACTCTCTTATATTATAAACTCCCGTGTAACACTTGAAATACAGGCATTTCATAAAACCAATTATTTATAATTAAAATTAATAAAATATTTTAACTCAAATGAATATTGAACTCTTAATAAAAAAAAAAAATCGACACTTATTTTACAAAATTAAACAGTGAACGAAAAAAATTGTATACGACAAAATTTAATTTACCACCAGCAACAAAAAAAAGGAACTGTTTTATTTTTTCAGTTTTTTTTTTTTCAGAAAATTATGTAAAGAAAAAATAAAAAAATAAAAAAAAATTTCAATAGCCATTTTTGTTTTCAAATTTCAAAAATTAAATATTTTATTAAGATCCTTTGATATGAAATTTTTCAAAAGCAAAAATAATAAAAATGAAAAAAAAGAGAAATAATAAATCAAAAGTGAACCACCAGCATTCATTTATGTCCCAATAACACAAATGTATAAAGATTCTTCTGTGTATACATTAAAGCATTTACATTTATAATGAATCTTCATTACTTAACTAGCTATGTTGAGAGAGAGAGAGGTAACATAAATCTACATACCTAAAATAAATTACGTCTAAATTTTCATATAAGAAATATTAATCTAAATTAAACATGTTAAAATTAAAAAATTAGTTTTACAATGCAGCACATTTCAATAAAATTTTAGACTAACTGCAAAATACCGAAAAAATGCACAATTCGTTTAAAAAAGAGAATATTTAATTTTCAGGATGAGAAAATATGAATTGAAGCGGTAAGTGGACAAAGGCGTTAACTTACATTTGCATCGTGACACTTTTTTTCATTAACAAATTGTAAAAATTTTAATATTTTTGTTACTTAACTCCTACATTGACAGTACATATAGGAGTCTCGTTTTCTATTAAGTTTCTAGCTATAAAAGTAATCACAGTTGAAAATATATAAAATTTAATGATGTTCTATCCGAGCAAGTCGATTTTCGGGAAAATGTTAGTTAACCCTATTTTCAACTTACCTCTTCAATTTTCAAAATAAATTTCTGAGTAAGCGGTGGGATTCATTAATTGGGGGCTCTTTGCAATGCATGAATTCAGAATTATAGTCGGAGCTACGCTTTTTAAAAAATTCTTAAAGGCGTTTTCCTCATATTGATTTTTATATATTAGAATTGTTCAAATTGAAACAAATCTCATTTCAATATGAAAAGACAAAATTTGGCACAATCTGAAACAAAAGCATCCTCTATTTTGATTCTTGTCTTCAATGCTTACAAAATTATATTTAAATGAAAAGTTATTTTAATCTAGGCTACGTTTATTAAATTTTCAATACAAATTTCTGGATATTATTCCAAAAATGTCAAATTTTAATATTTTACCGATGAAAGAACGACCTTTAATATCACGATTTTCAATGGTTATTGAAATTTTTCTCAAAATTGCTGAAAAATTAATTTTTAAATGTGAATACACATTTGTTACATCACATGTATGAACATAATTATGTTATATAACATTACACGTATGTGTATGTATTGCCTTTTATATATGTTTGTGGATGTATCGCAATCCTGTTCATTTTAATTTAATTATGAAAAAGTTATCGTGTGCTTGTTATCTCTCTTTTTTTTCTTCTTCTTCCACATAATATGCTTTTTATGAAATTTTTATTTAATTTTCCACATTTAATTCATTATTTAAAATATACACATACACATACATACACACAAACATCCATTTTATATTTCAATTTTTATTTTTTTGAATTTATAATATTCTTTTCTTATGGTTTTTAATTTTTATTGTTGCAATTATAAAATAAAAAAAATCTCTTTTGTTATTGTTGTTATACTAGGATAATGAGTTTTTTTTTTTTGTTTTTGGAAAATTTTGTTTTTATATTTTTTTTTTATAATTGTTTTTCTTTTTCTGTATTCATTTTTGTGTGTGTTTTTTTCTTTACAGGGAATTCATCTGGAACATAATACTTCTGCTCGTGTTATTCGTTCAAATCAAAGTTTAGTATTGCAGGCTATAACAAGACATAATGCTGGTAATTATGCTTGCAGTGCTATCAATGATGAAGGCGAAACAGTTAGTAATCATTTGCCGTTAAGAGTTAAATGTAAGTATATATATAGAATTATATTATTATTTTTGAAAGTTTAAATGAATTTTCATTTTGTAATATTTAATAGTACATTTTATTCTGTATTTAAACTACCCATTTCACAAATTAGAAGTTATATAGCAGCAATAATGTTTTTATAATCCATATGAATATGATATGGTGAATTTCAGTTTATTAATATTGTTAAATATTCAAATGTTTGTATGGTTTAAGTCAACGTAGAAAATAATAATAAAATTAAATAACATTTTGTAGTAGATGTAAGCGCTTTGTTGTTGAAAGCTTATACATTCTGAAAACGGAAGATTAAAGCATAGTTAAAAATTTCTGTTATGCGTTTGTGCAACAATAATATTGTGAATAACTCTTGTACGTCTAATTGTTAGGAAAATTGTCTACAAACATGTTAATTTTTGGGAAAAATGAAAATGTTATTTTTCATTTCTTGAATGAGATGCTTTAATTTGATGCACATTAACATACCAATGAAAAAATCTTTAAGGAACCAAAATTTAAAAAAATCTAAGAATTTTAATAAAGCCCTCAGATATGTCAGCTCTTTACCATATAATTACATCGTGCTCCTATAAAATTGAAATCATTATTAAATCAAGTATTGCTAAAGTTCAAAATTATAGGAATCTGACATGAATTTAAATGGTTATTAAAAATTCTTACCAAATCTCATAATTTAAATATATTTTGCATTAAACAATATTCCTGAGATGTTTATAAAAATTTTATCTTCACTTTACAGGTTGGAGATTGTATACATAGGTTGACAGTGTACCTTAAAAAAAGGGGATCTATTATGTCGCCTATCAAATGCATGGAAATTCCTAACCTTCTTCATTTTCATTGTAATAACATAAAATATTCAATTTTTTTGTAATAGATTGTTCTATTCAACTTAATATTCTACTATTCAACTGCTATACAACTTAGCAACAATTATTTCAAATATTTGTTTGATATAATAAAATTTAATTAATTTGTGAAATTGACATCCAGAACAGTAATTATGTAATACTCCCATAGGATTTTAAAATTTTTTATAAAATCCGATCCCTATTTATTTTTAATTCGATTTTCTTCTTTAGGAGAAAATCCATTTGTTTTGCGCACATATACCTAAATTATCAAAATGAAGTGCCTTTTTAGAATCAAAGAAATTTTTTTTTCTACATGTTATATAATATTATTGCTTCAAACTATCTAATTTAGATTAATTAATTTTCCTTAATATTCTATTATACAAATAGACGTACTTAATATAAATATTAATTCTATAAATGTTATAAATGTCCAGTCTGGAATAATTTCTAAAGTAATTATTGGAGTCTTTTAAAAATTTCTTTTCAAAACAATTAAATAAAATGCTGTTTTTACGGCTCCGTACAATTCTCATAGTAAAATAGTAGACCATATAAGAAATTCCAGAATACAAACTTTTCTTATGATTACATTTTTGTGCATTTGAGAATTCTAAAGGATATTAATAGTAAATCACTAAGGATTCTAAGGATTCATTGAGAAATTAATAAGAAAATAACAAAAGATTTTTTTTTATCACAAATTTTAAAGCATTCTTTTAAATTTATTCCATTATTTTCAACATTTGAGTAAAGAAGAATATTTTTTTTTGTGAATTTGTTTTAAGCAATAATTATATACATTATACACATATATTCCTTTGCCACTCGTTTAACATCAATTTTAATTATAGACTTTATTCATTATATGATTATTGTACCATATATAATAATAATAATAATAATAATAATAATTATAGCTAGACTGAGGCAGATGTAATGATAAAAATAGAGAATAAAATGATAAAATAATGGGTATTTTTTTTATCAACAAAGTGAGGTTTAATTAAAAACTTTAATCTTTTACTATAACTTCTCTTTTTATTTATTATTTTCGTTTTATTCCGTCTCTCAATTTTCATATAAAATTAATTCATGTAATTTACCAAAAATACCATAGCGTCACTCTTGATGAAAACTAGGTTAATTAATCTGTAATTAAAAAACTTACATTTATTGTAAATGCGTTTTTACATAAAGTCTATATTAAATGTTGTCATTGTCGTAAATTATTACAGCGGTATAGGTGGAGACAAAGTATAATGTTAAATATTTAAACCATACAATTTAATATTATTTTTAATTGGAATGGTTAAGGTAACAACAATATGCTTTATACGCTTATTTCAAAAATATTGGATAATCAATTAGTGCTTTAATCCTTGTGTCGTCAATAATTTTCTTATGTCATGTTAAACTAAATAGAACAAAAACAAAATTGGTTCATTATACTCATCAATTTTACCCTATATCATTCTGATTTAATCAATTTTAATTGATTTTAATAAATGAAATTAAATTTGAATCAAAGAAATTTTTATACCGTTTCCGCTTAAATATTTCACATTGTTAAAAAAGATAATTGGATACAAATATATGGTTAGACCCAAAAGTTGCTTAAGCCATATTTGATATTATAGGGTTCTATTACAATTTTAAACTCTCCATAATCTTAGTCCAGTTAATCTGCCATATATTCTGCTAGTTTCTGTTTTCTTAATATAAACTGGAATTTCAATTTAAATTTCTGGAAGTACGTCTTTTAAATTAAAGCAGTTTTAAATTACAAGCACAGAAATATTAAAAGAACTACTAACAATGGTTTAATTACAAGAAAGAGGAAGGACATTTGAATTTAAACAAATTAAGTGTCTGCAAACTCATTAAATTTCATATTTGTTCAATGTGTTTTTTTATGAGAAATAAAAATTTGTTCCAAGGTAAATTTAGATATTTTGTCATTCGTCCAGTAAAATCGCGGGTGGACTGTAGTTGGGAAGACGTCCTACCTTTTTACGTATAGGAAGTTTGAAAATTATTTGGGATTTCAAAGAATTTTTTAGATTTTTGAGTTTCAGTCGCTTATTAGGTTTTCTGTTAAAAAAAGCAGTTTTTCAATTTCTATCAGAAAGTTAAATTTAAATTTTCATATTTCTTACGAATGTGTTCAAAGCAATTTGCGAATTCTTTTTTGTAGAAGTATATGATTTGTAGAAGTATATGTTGCTCTGGATATATGAACTGCAACCTACTGCGGAAAATATATTCCCTCTTCTAATTGTGACTAGGATAAACATAAAAAGAACAGCAAAGATAAATGTAAGAAGGATAGTTTTCTCAATTTTTTATTAGAGAAATTTTTGGAAATTTATTAAAAAACGGTTTGATAGGTGCACGGAGTAAAATTTTTTTATTAAACTTTTGAAATTTGTGCAATTGAGAAGACATTCAGACATCTGCAATGCAAAAAAAATTTTGAAATATATTAGAAGGCACAAGTAAATTGTAATATTTTGAAGCTTTGCAAACACCATCCGAACTCTTTTTTCACAGTTTAATTTTTTGTTTAATACAAAATATCATTAATACCCATAGAAAACACAAAACTACTTTCAAAACTTGAATTCTTTATATATTTTACACCATTGAGTGTGTATGTTTGAGATTGCTTATAAATTAATCACTCCGTTTACAACGCTAACAAATTAAAGAAGATTGTGATGATAACAGTAATTTAAAAATGCATTAAGTTCGATTTACCAAACCAGCGCATGAACTTTAGTTACCTATATAAATTTATAGAATGCCAAAAAGCACAAATTTTATAGAACTAATAACCGGTAAGAAAAAAATGGGTGTTAAATTGATTAAGTTTTGCGAGGACAAGTTTAATGGCACAAAACAAATTTGGTCATGATTCTGTATAGGCCTTTACAATATCTTCCTCATAAAGTGCACAATAATTTAGTATAAATTCTCGAATAATACTGAATAAGACAATTAAATAATACAAGCACATAAAATGTACAATTGTAACACATTATTATACATATTACAAATAAATTATATATTATATATAAGTTGTAATACTCAAATTTTACACCAGCAAAACACCATCATGGTAAGAATTACATGAATCTTCTTATATCCATATAGAATGCCACAAAACTCTTCGAACACATTTGTATTATAGTATCGCAGAGTAGACACGGTCAACTATTCTCTTTAATTCCTTTTTCGTGTTTTTAAATTTATTTCTCACCGTTGCTTATTTTTTGAATGGTGTCTATAAAATACGTTTACAAACAAAAAAAAATCCAATTTAATAAATAGAAAAATATCTGCAATTTTTCATATTCAGTATTTTATTAAATGTCATATCCTTTTTATATACAAATCTATGCACATTAATTTATATATACATACGTGTGTTTATGTATAAATTTCCCGTAGACAAGTGCAGATTCTTTTCTATGAAATACTCATATCTAATTTGGTTCAATGTTCTAAGCAAAAAAAACAAAACACAAAAATGTGAAACGAAATGAATCAAATTTCGGTTTCTCTTTTTTGCAATGCAGAGTGCAATTCATACCACAACATCTTTGTGAAAATATAGACAGAATACCAAATCAAATTTTTGAGTTTCGTTCTGGAAATTAAAAATTTCTAAAAGTTGTACATAAACATAATACTATAAATTATATTCTATGTAGAATAATTGAAAATAACTAAAAAATTCTAGGGAAAAAATTTCTCACTATGTATATGAAGTACGTAACAACAAAAACTATTTACAATTTAAATATCTGAAATTCTTATAGTGATAAAAACAATTTAAGTTATAAGTTAACCGAGTCTGTTAATTTTGCATACATTTATAATTTTATTAATTCGATAGGAAACTATTGTTGCTTAACAGAATATTTCACATAATTTTTTTAAATAAAAGGTGAAAATAATAATATGTATATAAAAAGGGGTCCCTAAAAGTATGCAATTTTTTCTTATATAAAATTTTTATCTTTTCAGCGATTCCGAACACAAATCAATAAAATTTTTATGATTTGATTAATTCGACAAGTATTTGGCAATCTGATGGAGAAATATAACAAATTTCAAAAACTTTTCAATTTTCCTTCACGCTTTTAGAAATTGGTCTCCTATAACATAGATGAGTTTTATTTGTTCACTTACCCAATAACGTTAGTGACATATTTCGAATAACGTAAACTTAAATCACGTGTAAAATGACAATTTTAAAATTAATATCTTTTATTACCTCAAATACTATTCTCAAATATTGAATGGTCTCTTAGATTATGTGAAAAAGAAAATCCTTTTAAAATAGATAAAATAAATATTTTTCAATAAAGCCATTTAAATATTTTAAAATAATTTTCATTTATCGAAACGACAATAAAAAAATTTAAAAATAAAAATAAATTCATTTTAATACGCTTGACTCATTTCTCTCGTGTTAAACTTAATTTTCACATTCATGAAAGCATCACTCATACAAGTTAGACAGGTAACGACAGCACAGTCAACAAGAATAACGCTATTCACACTATTAGTATAAATATGTGTTTGCTTCTAAAAATATCTATACCTAACAGTTGATTTTTTTTATATTCTATTTATTTTAATTCCCTTTGTTCTAAGCATATTTCAAAAAAAAAATTTCATAAAAAATTACTTAGTATTTTCAATTGTTGTCCAGCGATTTTTCTGTCATTCTATTTTATGAACAAAGCAATTAGAACATTCCAATATGAAAAGTTAACAAATTAATGCTATTGAAAACATTCTTGTTCTAAAATAAAATTTTTAGTTTTTCACCACTTCCAATCAAAATATATCAATTCAAAATGCAGTCCTTTTACCTATTAAGTCATTCTTTAGGAAAATTTCCAATTTTGCAAAAGTATAATGGTGAGTTATTTTCGAAAATGATGTTTTTTATCAATATCAAATTAATTGACAATTGACTATGGGTAATTTTTATGCAGCAAATGGAAAATGTATTCTGTCATTCAATTAAGATTTGAGTTGCGTACCATTTTTTAAAAAAATATTCCTTAAATATTCCTCCTAAATGTTAATTTCTCTAATTCCTAAAATTTTTGAAGTAAAATGTGCTATTTTATGAACCACTCCTTTGATCCGCCTACATTTTTAGTTTTACTTTTAGATATTTTTTTTGTTTGTTTAATTTATCCTTGATACTATAGCTGAGACTGATGGCATTTAAAATTCATACCATGTTGATTTATTTATTATTCCAAAAATAAAATAAAGGAAAAAACTATAACTAGTTTATGATATATAGATTCTATATACATATATTTTATGACAACCCGTCTGAACACAATAAATTATTTAATATTATTTATTTTAAAAAAAATTTATATAGCTATTTAGTGTTTTCATATAAAATAGTAAACAGTGAGGGCACTAAAATAATAGGCTCAATAAATTCACACAAATTTTTTGTAATAAGATTTAGACTTGAACGTTTTTTATGAACTTCGCAAAAACTTATTTTACTTCCAATCTATTTATATGAAATTTTACAATTATTTTATCTTATTCAATTAAAATTCTACATAATTTTATTTTATGATTCTAGATGCCCCGATATGTAAACATATGGATCGTGTTATATTAATTGGAGCTTCAAAAGATGAAACTGTGGAAGTTTCTTGTGAAATTCAAGCAGATCCACCACCAAGGTAATTTTCAATATTACACAAATTGTTGTATAAAGTTCACAGTACTGTCAAGCGGAACACCGCTTAAAAAAATTTTGTATTAAAAAAAATTTCAAAAAAATTTCTTGCAACTTATAATCATCCAATCATATTATTTTGATGTTTTGCGATTTTAATTAGGGATTTATAACAAAAATCTACGAAAATCCAACCCAAAAAAATCAAAATGAAATTCATAATTTTTTATGGTTAACAATTTAATCGGGAAAATTATTTTGTTCATTTTCTTACCATTATTTCACCTTATTATCCTTGTTAAGAACACTTGTTGTATTTTATATGGAAACCTAGGTAGAATTTATTTTCTTTTTTTGCAAAACTCTTAAATATAGAAAAGCGTGGGAGACGACTAGATATTAACGATAAAAATTATGATAATAAAAAATTCTTACGCAACAAATTTTTAATGTAGCGCAACAATAATGGAAAAAAATAACAAGAAAATAAAAGACTAACAAAAGAACAGATAAAAATTTAAAAATCTTTCTAAAAATATGAAAAAAAAAGAAATCCGTGCATTTAAAACAAGAATAAGGAATTTTAAATTCACCTTGAACCAAAAAAAAAAAAATGCTAAGTGGAGGAAAAAACAATCACTTTTTTTTTTGTTTTTCAAACCACATCGGAATAAAAATATTTTAGTTCAGTAATTTAGAATTATTTTGTATTTTCCCGGCTGTAAATAAAATTTTCCTCATTTTTTACTTAAATTTCCTTGCAACTACTGTGCAGTTAGTTAAAAAATTTTCATAAATTTTTTGAAGGCGATATCATTTACGTCATAAAGTTTAGAGAAACGAATTCCAAATTTATAATAGTGCAGATGAAATTTGTGCTTTATTTGACCTTTAGTATTAAATGATGTAATAAGACATAAATAATTAAGTAGTTGAGAGAAAAATAGATTAAAATAGAAAAAACTTAAAACTTTCGACTGGACATGTTTAAACTGGACATGTCTAAATCAACAAAGAATCTTACGCTGTACAAGAGCATATTTACATGTCCATACCGCAGACGACTCCTTCAAGTGGTTACAAACACCATACCAAAGTGAATATACAATTTACGAAGCTGCAGGGTATAAAAACCCCAAAACATTACAAACCATCTTCATAACTTCTATAATATGTAGACTTAAGAATCGAAAATAATGTCGGGAAAAAATAGAAACAAAATATTATTCATTTTCCGTTACTTCTCCTAAATTTATGCAACCATTCAATTTTCGAAATAATCTACATATCAAAAATTAAAAGAAAAACCGCAACAACAACGAAAAATCTTTGGAATAATCAAGAAGGAAACTTGAAAAAGAATAAAAATGAAAACAAAAATAACGGTGAAAAAAAAATCTTAGCAATTCAAATTTATGTACATAAATTACGTTTTTCTCTATTTTCTTCTTTCTAAATTCTTCTTTTATTTTACTCTCATTTTTTCACTTATTTTTACCTTAATGAAAATTCGAATATTGCCATCTCCGACCGAAACCAAATCCTTGTACACTTCTTGTCAACCTTTTGATTTATTTCATTTTGTTTTTTTTTTTCTAAAATATTTTAGAGGTTTTCTTGAAATTTTTTTTTGAGAATTCTGTTTTAAAAATTTTTGTTTAGAATTTGAAGGAAAATATACACACTTAAATTAAATCCAGTGTGAAGAAAGTGGACTTACCTAAATAGCTATTTACATTCTATTTAATTTTTGGGACGTCTATTTTAATAAAATTATTACGTTCTTTTTACTTGCCCAGTCATACATTGTCTGAGTGTAGAAAATATAATATAAGGAAAATGTATATGTACATGAGGGTAGAAAATTATTATATAAATAAAATTTTCAAAATGAATTTTCTATATTAAATATTTTGCTTATGGGAGTAGGTAATAGTAAATATAGAATTTAGATAAAGAAGGTAATTATTAGTATGCTAATTGTGATAATATTGTATTTCCAATAAATTTTTTAAAATTTTTAATTTATATACAAAATTGATTATGGCCCCAAATTCTAGGAATAGAGATGGAATGATCTATACGACATTTAGGTAAAAATTTTTTAAATTTATTTAGGTCTAACTAAATTAGTTTAGGTTTTAAAAAAAATTAACTAAGTATTCTTTAAGCTGTGGTTAATGAGATAAATATAATTTCAAATGACTCCACAGAACAACTAAAATAAGAAAAAAATAATTAGGATATTAGAATATTTTTGATTTCTCTTTTTATCCCTGAATATTAAGATTTAAAAAAACACATATACACAATACAATTGGAAATTTTATCATAAATAGTTCACTACAATTACGTTGTACGATCCTAATAATTTTTTTAAATTTCAATGCTAAAACCACATTCTTAATTATTTTTTATGGTTCTTCGAATTAGAATTTCTTTTCAAATGTAATTTTAAAATATTCAAAACACTGTCCATAACCATTAAATTAATTTTATGAAAATTGCACAACTTTTGTTATTGTACCTAGAACTTTAAATTGCATTGTACTAATTCATAGAATATCGTTCTCCGTCATTGAATGACTCCCGACATTTCATCTGCTCTTTCATAACATTATAATAGTATCTCTCTCATAAGGCCAATGCAAATTTCCTATTTTTTATTATACAAGATTTAAATATATTACAATTAACTTTTTGAATTAATAACTTTTTATTTTAATAATATTTTTAAAATAAAATTTATTTCCAAGAGCGTACAAGGTTTATATTTTTTAAAAACTTAATATTCTCTTTAACAGATCATATAATCTTCATAAATTACAAGTTTTTTTCATTGTCTTGCATGCATTAAAAAAATCTTCATTTAAATGCTTGTGTTATATTTCAAATCATATTACTCTATGATTGTCAAAATAAAAATTAATGTAAATTAAAATCTAGATTGTTATAAGTGAACTATAGTTTAGTGTTGAAAATTACAAGACCATAAGGTCAGCCAACAAGTTTTTAGACCATAAGGGCACATGATATCTATAAGCACATAATGAAATAGGGTAGTGTAAGTTTGCAAAGCAGCATGTTATTTTCCCTGAAGTAATTAATGTTCTGAAAAACTATATTTTTTTTTGGAATTGTATTATTTCGGAGAAGACAAAAGTTATCAGATTATAATGACAGCTAGTTGAATGAACCTAGCCGTATTGTGGTATCTTTTACAGAAAAAAACTAAAGACATAAAGCTTAAGTTGAGCAAAATGATGTTGATGAATATTTTGTTTTAGTTTAGTGTCCTATAAGGTATTGAAATTGCAAAATTTTTCGGCTTTAAATTTTGTGTTTAAAAAAAGGAATCACTATTTGCCTACGATTGTAGAATGTTAATAAATTTTGTAGTTCCGGCTTGATTTTTTCTAAAACTTTTATAGGGTTAAGATTTATATGTAAAGAAAAAATTGTTAAAATATTGTGTTATAGAAATATTGAGTACAAACGAGTTCTCAAATAAAAATTCCATTACAAATCTAATTAAAATTCATTTTTATATAATATAACGTCGGTTTAGGAGTAAAACTTGTTTCTTAAAGGTAAACAGCATTTTCGAGAAAATCGTGATTTATTAATTTTTTCTTATTTAAAAAGGCTAAGAGAGATGGACAAAATGATATTAATAAGCACATTTTTTTCAGTTTTCTTGAAAACGTATTAAATATTTTTACCTTGTTCGAACTGAGTATATTAATATGACTCTTGTTGCTTATAACTTAAAGTTCTTATGTTAATCATCAGAACTGAAGTCTACATAAAAATCTGTATGCATATATTCTTAACTGTTCTAAGAATAATAAATAGACTAGTACATTTATTAAATTTTTTACTGAATAAAATATTCAATTTAATATTCTCCTGACCTTTAGCCGAATATGACATTGAATTCATGGTAACTGCATTATCTTTTCTAAGATTATATTTAGCATTGTTAAGAAATTCTATTTGTAGTAAATGCTAAAGTATATTATTGTCATAATTCTTATTTATGCACTGTTAAATAGATGATGTTTTATAAATGTCTTGAGTTGAATTGGAAAATTTTACAGTTTTAAGTACCTTTTAGCAAAACAACACACATTTTTCAAGTTTTTATAATAATTTAATTTTAAGGACAATGTTAAGAATAACCAGAAACACGCATATATTTGACATTTTCAAGCAGCTGCAAGTATTTCCAATTCAGCATTATTTGTTTGGAAATAGAAAATCAAATTCGAAAAACTTCAGTGACTGTTATGAAGGACATATACTTTTGTTTTAATATTTTTGAATTAAAATATTACAATAAAATTCCAATTGATCAGGTTGCAAATTTCATGTACCAAATTAGTTGAAACAATTTTTGCATATTAAAGGTTTGTCGAATAATTTCTGTCAAAAAATTGGCCTATTTTTTTTTCCTTGTACGAGGTTCCTAAAAGTATGGTCATAAAACAAATATTTTTCATGGATTCCAATTAGAAGCATTATGTATAGCATTTAAATACGAATTCATCAAAAATTCAAAAGCAATTGTTATGTTTTCAATTAAAATGCTGACCTTAATGCTCTTTTCTCTTATAATTTTAGAAATAGAGTGCAAAAACGAAAATTAATTCATTATACTCATTAAAATTGAAAGATTTTTTCTCTTTTAACAATTTGTTAGACTTTAAGGAGCATCCAATATTAACTGTAGTAATTTTTTAACAAGCTCACTGGAAATTTAGATGCAATTTCTCAGAAACTTTTGAACCTATACAAGATCCATCATTTTAAGAAAAATATAAATTACAAATTTTTGCAAATTAAAGGCGATTAATTAATTTTTTTAGTTTTTAAGTCCCATTAAGAAAATGCTATAATAATTTAAAAACGAAAACTTCATGTAAGAAGGAAATTCTCTTAACAGTGCACTTCTCTCTCAAAAAAAAATACACAACTTTGCACATTTAAATAGCATTTCAAATTTACTAAAGGACAATGATGAACAATGCGAAAAATTTAGAAATTTATTTTCCTAAATTTCTAAATCCCTGAGTTTTAAATTTATTCTTTGATTTAGAGTAATAAATTATTTAAATAACAAAAAAAAACTAAGAACCTTATTTATTTATCCTTTTCCACATTGCTTTCTGTTTCGAACTCATATTATAATTTTTCATTAAATTTTTTGAGCCTCATTTTATTTACATGGCCCGATTCACATTTCTTGTTATTTTTTTTTGTTTTGGTTCTTATTGTGTTTGCAATACTACTTCCTTCTATTTTGATATCTCTTGACACGCAACTACACTTTTAACTTTTCAACTTTTTTCATATATGCACGTACGACCATCTATACACAAACATATTTTTACAAAATATAATAAGAAAACATTTTACTTTAATCCTGCGATCACATTAAGTCTGTTATTTTTTCAATGAAATTTCTTTTCAATGAAAATAAGAGCGGCATATTTAGAACGAATTTCGGTATATGAACTGAAATGGTCATAAATCTCTCTTTGTTTTTATTTATTTTGTGTGAATTTTATTTTTTTTTTCTTATTATTTCACTTTACTTGATTTCTTTTATAACACATTATTTCCCTATACACACATTTAACATATTATATCCCTAAACTATACGCTCACAGTTTCATATTTATTATATTTCACCGTTATTTTCAATGTTATTTAAGAGAAAACGCATACTTTTTAACATAATGTACTACTACTGTTCTTGACTTCATATCAAATAACACTACATTATATTTTTGTTATTTGGTGGTTTCATTTTAAATTTGAAGATGAGGACAAGTATTTTAAAAGGATAGAATGACTTTTTAATTTACAAAGAAACAAGAAAGATTATGCATGATTTATGTGGAAGGTACAATGTACAAATAATACGTTCTTTGTTTACTATAATTCTATATGAAGTTGGAAGGGATACAATATAAAAACCCATTCAGTACATTATACAGTATTGCGGTCAAATTTCTGGAAACATAGAAATATGTATATGTTATATTATTATGAATAATAATAAAATCGAGTTCATTTTCTCTCTAATATTCAATTCTTTACTATTTCAGAGAGTTTTTAGGTCTGTGCATGTACAGAGAATATTAATAACAAAATAATAAACTTTATCACTTTTGAAATCCTGGACCCTGCCATAACTCTTTGGGCATACTTTTATGCCAGTTTTATTAAATTTTAAAATTGTGTCTTAATTTAATTGCAAAAAAACTTATTTTTAACAACTTTTCTTTAACTAATACAGCAGGTGCGTGCAACATAAACAATTCAATATAGTATAGAATTTCTACCAAAAGTGGCTGTGAGGTCAATAAAATTTCTGACCAAAAACATTTCGATTCGAACCGGTTCTTTCATATTTATTATCCATTTTTATCATAATCTCTACTATTAACCGATTCGCTTATATTAATTTTTTTTCTGTTTTTCTTTTCTTCAAGTTTCTGTTTTGTTCTCTTCAACTTTTCATATTGTTGTTCTCCTTTTTTAATTCTTATTTTTTACCACTTTCAAATGTTTATATGTTTGTTGCTGTGCTGTTTTGTAAGTAAGGTAATAATAATTATAGCCTCTCAACTTAATAATTTTTCACCATTTTTCAAAATGTAAAATATCCTTTTTTATTTAGTTGTTTTTCTTCGTTTATATTCTGTATATTGAATATAGCGAAAATTTATAAGAAAAAAAAAAATAAAAAATGAAAAAGCTAAAATTTCCCGATGAGAATGAAAAATAATTTTTTTTCTGTAACCTGAAAATGTCAGACATCTTTATAATGTACCTTACCAAACAACCCATATACATAAACACATTTGTACCGCAATTATAGTAAAAACTTTGCATATAATTTAAAAAAAAAAATAATATTATAAAGTGTATGTTTTTGATATAGAAGTCACTTAACGTTTCGGATAACAGTAGGGGTTTTCAACATTTACTAATATGAAAGTATATTATGTTGGGTAATACCAAAAATAGTATAATATACATAATATTCATAATATGCACATGTATGTGTTTTGTACACATGCAAAACTTGTAAGTACCCATAAGTACGTGTAATTTCTTTCGTACATAGCTATCGTGTGCATTTTTAACAATTATTTTATGTTTGTGACTTGCTTTAAGTGAACGGAGATTGAAATAGGTAATTTTTCTTTAATTCATTCAATATATGTAGGTCCTTGCTTGCATTTTCCTATATACCTACATTAATGTGCAGCAATTTCAAATTATATCCCTGCATACATCCGGATATATAAAATATAATATTACAAATATATTAAGATACTAGGTTATACAAGAATATAGGGTATTTGAAATATGAAAGTAAATTTTTAAATATCGTGTGTTTTTAAAATTTTTCATGTTTTCATGTGCTTATTTTGTTACCGTTTTCGCTATTTTATGAAAATATCAAAAGTTAAATAATAACATCAAAATATAATATGCGGAATAAAGTGGACATAAAAACTATATAATAATAATATGAAACATATACCACCACATACACATGGTTGTGAAAAAAAAACAATATTTTTTTTTTTTTAATTTTCGTGAACTTAAAAAAAATGAGGGTATTGTCGTGTTTATGTTGCAATATTCTATATTTGTGTATGTGTATGTAGAGTAAAACAAATTGGTATAAATTCTGCCATTTTTTTTTTTATTTTTTTTTTCCTTTCTGTGTATTTTATTTTGAATTTAAATTGCCACAATGGGAATTGAGGTTAAACAACTTTTAATAAAAATTATGTTGGTTTTACCTTGTCTACAAATAATCAGTTAAGTCCTTTTAGTATAATTTAACTTTAACAACTTACACCTACATTTTATTATTACAATTACATATATACATATAAAATAGTATGAGATTCGTATATAATATGCCTATATACTCAGGTACATAGATTTGCACTATTTACATTTAGGTTGTTATTATCTTAATCTTTATGTTGATATGAAAATTATTGTTGGTGTCAGATCAATTTATTAAACGAATTAAAATTTATTAGATATGCACATATATGTATATATATATAATAGAAGTTATTTGTTTCAACGTGTTTTACATTATATTGAGACCATATTTATAATAATTACATTATATACATATTATGTATATCTCACACGTTATACTATGAAAATACAATAAAATTTTAGTTAAATTTATGTCCTTCTATATGAAAGTGTGCGGAAATTCATATTACCATAGTTTTATGGTGATTTTATTGACAAATTGCGGTGAATTTACACAAGTATGATTTAAAATAATCGTATTACATATAATATATATATATATGTATGTACAAAGTACGATATTTTAGTTAGATAACCTTATAAAAATTATAAAATAATAATTAAAAAATTGTAATAAATGAAAAATAATAAAATAATCAAGATTTTATAATTATAGAAATTTTAGTTCAAAAAAATTTTAATAATAATGCAATATTATTAATTTTGAGTTTTTTAACCCTTTATTTTTTTTCTTTGTTTTGAAGGAGTTTCCGATGGAAATTTAATAATTCTGGTGAAACATTAGATGTTGGGAGTGAAAGATTTAGTACAAATGGCAGTCGTAGTATATTAAAATATACACCAGTTACAGATCAGGTAAACAATTTTTTAAAAAATTAAAATTAAAATAATTTATTTTTAATTGAGGTTGTTGTTCATATGAAAAAATAACAAAACCAAACGTACCTTAATTTTAAATAATTTCCGATAAAAATTATATTTAAAATTTTAAACTATATTTAAATTTCCATTTTTTTTTTAAATAAATCGGTCAATCACAAATTCCTTTAAAATCACGCTGTTATTTTGTTGCAATGCGACAAAAGTGGACAAAATTTAAAATATTATGTTCTTTCAATATTGAAGACATTACAAGAAAAGAATTTAAATTAAGAGTATAATTTTATATTTTGTTAAATATATCTAATAATTTTAATTATAAATCATTTTTATATCTGGACTATGAGTAATGGTACAAAAAATAATAAAAGATTTTTACTTTCTAAGGAGCCATTAATGAAATACAAATGTATGTATACTGACAGAGAAATCAACTAAGTTATGTGTAATGTATTTGGTAAAATATAATAAGTGTACAATATTTTTAAGCTCCGTAACTAATTGAAACAACTAAAACCCAAAAAATCTCTGTCTGGAGCTATAGATGGCCAACCTGTATTTTGCATTAATATTCTCAACACGCATATTACACAAATCTTTGTTCCTAATTCAGTACGGAATTGGTGTGTAGCCATGATTCGCAGCCATAGGTTAATGTTGATTTTACACATGATTTGAATATGCTCAACTTGGTATGTCTAGATATTTGCGAGCTGTTCCATATGGAACGGAGTCTGCCGAAGACTGTTCTAGCTTTATCAAGCCTATTCTGTAAATCTTCATTAGTACCGCCTGTTGGCGTGATGAAACTTCTCAGATAACAGAAGTTAGTTGTGCATTCAATGACTAGGCCGTCAAGCTGGATTGGATTGTCATATACAAAATGTATGTACATTGCTTTGGTTTTGTTGGTATCAATTTCTAGACCAATATTTCGGGATGTTCGCTGCAGGTGATTCAATTTGGACTGCGCATCTTCTTGATTGCTAGATATTAAACATATGTCGCCTGCGAAGTCAAGGTCCTGTAGATTTTTGTCATCCGATCAATAGATGCCTCTTTCAATACTGCTTACTTCACTTAACACATTATCTAATACAATGGAATTTCACATTATATATGCTTAATATTTAACTACTAATTACGTGTAAGTTTAGTGTAAGACATGATATAATAAAGACATGAACCGAACTGATGAAAAATAGCACTCGATTTGTGTTTTGTGCCGAAAATTTCACTTTTAGTCATGCTGTTTTGTACTTATTTTACAATTTCAGCGCCTTTTTGCCGGTTTTCATTTGTACATGATCCCTCTATTTTCATCAGCAAATTAAAAATTGCTTAAACTTCTAATGAGCTAAAAAAAATTGAAACGAACAAAAATTTACTTGAAAATCACTAATAATATAAAAATATTTTTGAAAAATATTGGCGAGTCAAAAGCTTTGACATGCCAAGTTTCATGTCAAAAAATTGTACTACAGTTAAAATAGAATAATATTAAAATCTTTAAAATTTGCGTGATATAAATTTTATAACAAGTTGTATGCATATAGCAAAAATTGTATGTACGTGTTGAAATAATTTCAAGCACTCATGTGAAATCTTATTCCACATAAAAACAAAAAATCTTGCATCAATTAATTTTGAAATTGATTCCAAAAATTTCGTATTGTATGTCCAACCGTACAATCATTTTCATAGAAAATAATATCCTGCGATTCATTTTTCCTCTCTGCTATCAATTAACAAAGATATTGAACGGGTTTCAATGCTGATAGTATCTATAAAAATCTATACTTATATACGAAACATATAAATGTGTAGGTACTCACAAATTTATTACAGCATATGTGCACAATCACTCGTTATTTTCGCTTAAAACATATGGTGGTTGAAAATGAAAAAATGTTTTCATCAAATTTATTAAAGTCACGTTTTTACTTAAGTAAGATCTGAGATATTACTAAGTCGTTTAAAATAATTAATTCATTTGTTTTTCTTTTTATATTTTTCTCTTTCACTCTCTTTATAGTCTTTACAAAATATATGGTCGAAAAACTAGTGAAATATATAAAAGTGTTTTTTATAGTACAACGAAAAAAAAACCCTCTTTAATCATAAGTACACTATCAAATCAATTTGTTTTTTTTTTTCTGATATTTAAAACTCAACAATTAGTCACAGTATATAAAATAAAAATTTCATTTTAAATTATTATAAGGGTCATTATATTATTTACAATCGCGTTATTTCTTAATTAACATAAAACATTCCTTAAAAGAAGAAATAAGAGAAGCAACAATTAACTCAAGTACCTAAACATTAATAAGATTTTCTAGAAGAGCGTTAACAATAATTAATCATATTTTTTTTCTTTAGGGCTGCTTTTCCGTTAAAAACCATGAAAATTTTAAATATTTTTAGAAAATTTCTTCTCATATTTCTTTTTTAATCCAGAATAATATTCTTGAATTCCAGTAATTTTTTTACGCCAATTTTTCTTTTTATTTTTTCGCTTTCCTTTAAATTTTATTAATATTTTCTTTTTTCTTTTATACTTGAAGGACTATGGAACATTATCATGTTGGGCTATTAATGAAGTTGGTACACAACGTCAACCTTGCATGTTTCAAGTTGTTTTAGCTGGTAATTCTTATTATAATTTTTTTTTAAGTAAAAATATGAAAATTATAAAACATAAAATTCATGTTAAAAAATAATTAAAAAATAATCTAAAAGGAATTTATAAAAATAATACCTACCACATGTAATTAAAAATAAAATCTTTATATAAATTACATTTTTACATAATATACACACAAATACAAGCAAGTAAATTGAAAAAATTTACAGTACAGTACATTTTTTACAAGACGACAACTAACATTGAAATCAAAATTAAATTGAGTTATTCAGTACAATTTCAAATCGCGTCACATAAAAGTGTTAACCATTTTAAATAGATTTTGAGTGAAAACAAAAATTTTAAGGGATTTATTAAAAAAAATATTTAGTGATTATTAATGATACTTGTAGACATTCCCCTTATCAGGATGTTATCGTATTAAGGTCCAGGTTTTATTTAATCTAAAATACGAGTTCTGGAAAACAAAATATTATAGAAACCATTTATTTTTTTAACTCTTAAGATTAATATTGAATAAAATTTTGAATTTATTGAGCCCAAAACTTAATTCTTTTAATGCTTAATATTTTAATTTAAAATTAATATTTAAAATTTTTATTACAAAGATTTTCCGAACTTTGAATTCTTGTACCCTTACTGAAATTTATGCTTAAATGAATTAAGGATAAATTTTAGCAAAATTTCCAATATGTATTCCGAGCAAATTTTCTTTTTTAAAATTCCATATGGAAAATAATTTTAAAATAAAAATCTTATTCAATGCCTGTCGAAATATATGAATATTTAGTTATCAAATTATAATTTAACATTCTTCAACACAAAATGGAGTCGACTGTATATTATGCCTAAATTTTGTACACATTATACTGTAAAACTTACACAAATTTACTCAAAAATTTATTTTTATTTTTCATAATAAAAAAGAAATTAAAATTTTATGTTTTATATCCTTACTTGTACTCTACTATGTACATACACATATTTCCTTTCTCAATGAATCTTAATAACTAAATTGAATGTTTTTTACAATTTTTTTCTTCTATTTCAAAAAATTTTAAAATCTAAATATATATAGGACTACCAAGTATTGTCAATAATTGTACGGTATACAATAAAACTGATTTAAGTGTTGAAATTCAATGTATACCAGGTTATGATGGTGGATTACCACAAATATTTGTTCTTGAAATGGTGTCAATCAAAACTGGTATAACAAGGTAAGTATTATTAATTCTGTAATAAAATACAATACCGCAATTCAATTATGCTTATAATGTAATTATATCTATATATTTGTCTTGAGGTAATGTAGCCCTATGACATCTTTCTTTAATTATTTTGTAAAATAATTTCTGGGTTTTAATTTTTAATTTTTAGTATTGAGAATAATAGCACTTATTTTAATTTTTACATAATTTTTATCAGATTTTTTAGAGTTTTTCCTTTCGTCTTAGAATAAATTGTATTATGGAGATAAAAGGTTTACAGGGTATAATCAATAATAATAACAGGGTAAATGAAATGAATTTTAAACCAAAAAGTTTAGGGGAAGCAATTGGAATACTCGTATTAAAAAAATGCAAACAATTTCATATGAGAAAGTTTAACATAATTAAGGACTAATTTCAGAAAATATAGTTTCCAAATTTAAAATCATATAATCTAAATGTAGTAAGAAACTTGTCTAAATAAAATGTAGCTTCGAAATGCAATGAAGCCAAACCAAACACTCAACTTATAAAGTTTCAATTGGGACGACATTAAATTTGAACTAAAAGAAAACTAAAGTATTAATATTCAGGCAGATATGCAATTTTTAGTTTTGCAATTGCTGCTTGATTATAGAATCGTTGTGCGTACTAACTAAACCACCAACAAAACTATTGCGTCAATTTAAATCGAATGCATTAAATGGTAAAAATTTCAATAAGTTTGTAAAAAAAATACAATTGGTTGTATGCGCACTTGAATATAAAAACTATGGAGTACAAATAAGAAATCAAACAGTTGCAAATCTAAAAATTGCATGTCTATCTGAGTCCTTACACGACTTCGTTCGAGAATATTGACTAGAATCATAACCTTCTCTAAATTATTTAAATCCATATAACAATTATAAAATTATTTCAATTGTTATATGGTTTATTTCTTTGTGAAATGTAAGACTAAATGTAAAACCGAGAGATTCTGTTGCTTATAGTCAATAATATTTCTGAATTGAATTTTCGAATTTATCCAACAAATTTGCAATACAAATTTCATACAATTTAATATTGCAACATTTATATTATTGCAGTTTTCGCTTAACATCTTAGAAAATTAAAATTTATTAAAAATGTCATATTTTAGCAATCAATTATCAATAACCTCATTTCGAAGCATGGGAGTTGATAAAATTTAAACTTTGAAATCTTCTAATTGTAAATTTCTGAACCAAATAATGTAAATTGTGGTAGTGGTAAGTGTATAAAATGCAGTTAGAATATGGTTATTGTCAGAAATCTACTTTGTAACCTTTTTTTTACATTATTTCCTCTAACACCAATTCAAAGGAAAATATTTATTACAAATCTCTAAGAGTTCATTAAAATGTCGAATTTTCTTTTGATTTGCTCGATTTATTCACATTATTCACATTTCTCTTAAATCAAATTTAATTAATTTTAAATTTATATATGTGTTCACTTTATTTGACAACAGATTTAATTTAACAAATCCAGATGAACCACAATTTCTATTAGATAATTTGGATACATTAACAACAATGATGACAAGTGAAAATAATTCACTTAAGGTACGAATATATGCTGTCAATCAAAAAGGACGAAGTCTTGGATATCAAATAAATGATTTTATAATCGGTTCAACAACACACAAGACAGGTGATTGATTTCATTTTTAATTTTTAGAATAATTACATACCCATACATAATATTCTACAATATACTATACACACATATATACAAATATGTTTAATAACAAAAGTGAGTCATATATATTGCATGCTATCACTTAAACTATTAAAATGTCATTCAAAAATTTAAATAAATGTCATTCATGTCGAAACTTTTAATAAAAGTACATATATACATATGTTTATGTATTGAGAATGTGAAAAAAACTGATCAGACCCTTCTGGTTTTTTTGTTTACTTTGCTAAATATTCGTACAATTTTTGCAAAAATAAATATTCTATAACAAAAGGATTGTAAAGGCACTCGTATCAAGTAAAATATTATAAAAATGAAGAAATTTTTTTTGAGTGAATGAAATGTTATTAATCTCACCGTTCATTTTCGAGTCATTTATTAAAATTTGTATGAGTTTTGAAAAGCTCATTAGCACTTTTCATTGCCAGTAAAAGTTACGCATTCAATAAGCGCTGTTGTTTGTCATATTGTTAGTAAACATTCCATAGTGTTAGTAAAAATTCCATACATTTAGAAGGCACTGTTGAGGATATTTTATTAGTATGAGGGATTGACGTATATTAGTTTTTGGTCAAAAACAATTTCTATTCTTAATGTAATGGAAAATTGAATTTTTGTAACTCGTAATCATCACATCACTTAATTCCCTGTAATTGAACTTAGCCCGTTCAATTTAATTTAATTTTAAATACTTTCATTTATAACAAGAAATTATGATGTTTTCAACGCGAAATAGTAGTTGTAAATTCCTTTTATTTGAAGCTAATATTTTTCTTAGATAGAAAGTTATAGTTTAGAATTTCACAGAAATAATTTTCCTACAGAAATTCCAGATCACTTATTTAATACTCAGAATTTGAAGCTTTCCGTTCTCTTTGAATTATCTAATAGCGCTAAAAATATGGATAACTCTAAAACACGCAAAGTAATTAACGTGGTACGTTTTCACTTTTCTGTCTTGTATAACAGTTACATATGATGAATATCGTATGTAACTGTTATACAAGAATATCGTTTTTATCGTAACTTAAATAATCAGCCAAGGAATAGTCGCATTAATGATCCTTATAATTTTAATTTAAAATATAAGTTTTCAGCACCCAAATATTGTTATTCGAACACCAAATTTATTAACAAGTAAACAGATTCCAGGAATTTAAGTAATATTTTTCAAAAAATTATTTTACACAATTTCTACAAGAATGTGTTCATTATTTATCATTGAAAAATCTCATGGTTGATTAAGTCCTTCACTCCAACCGGATACTATTGAACTACTTAATACTGTTATACAATGATACAAGAACTATATAACGACAAGGAAATAAAGAAAGAAATTTATTTTTTTTCCCTTAAATTTCATCAAGTTAAGGAGAGAAAATTATGTTGTCCTTCTAGTTTATATTTTGGTTTATAAACAATAATCCATCTTAGAAATAAGATTGAACGTAACCGTACATCATATTTTTGAATTATGTTTTATTCTTTAAAGAAATTTTATGGTTTGACACTTTCTGTCCACTGTTCAGAACGAAGAAATTTTCCAAGAAAAATTATTATAAAGATATAAGATTTTTCTATAAATATAATAGAGAATAAAATAATTAAAATTTTTCTATAAATATTGTTATAGAAAAATGAACTTTTTCAATCCTATGATACCCTCTCAAACACCTTTCTGGGCCTCTTACTAAACCTATTTGTGTCGTTGAATACGTTTCGAATTACAAAAAAATCATTTGTGATTTACATAGCTACTTTAGTCATATCTGAAATATTTTAAATTATTTTGAACTTACGCACAACTTGTTACTTATAAAACTCGTATCAAGCATAAATAAAATAGAGTAGATTGTAGATAGTAGATTGACCACGAGTGCTCAGTGTCCCGCCTAGAGCACCCTCTCGAGACCCACATTTTTTATGAATCCGAGCCAAAGCTGTCCCTTCTCTTACGTGTTAAGTCTCCTTACTCATTGAAGTGATGTATCGTAGTCTCCTCCTCCTCCTGTCATCTCTATAATTATAAAATGCAAACAAAACACATTAGGCATTCGAGAACTGGTTTAATGACTAAATTTAAATTTAATTCTCGAAATAACGTATTTTACGACAATTCTCTCACCACTGTGTGTCCTGGATCATTGTTAGACATTTTTTAAAATTTTTGGTCATTTTTGTAATATTAAATTTTATAAAAGAAATTTTATTGCATAAGCTCAATATGTGCTGTGCTTTGAAAGAGAAAGTAATTCGAAAAGAAGTCAACCTAGGGCAGTTATGTAAAAAGAAACTTAAAAAAGGGAAAAATGTCATGAAAAAGAATGATATTTTAGACTGCAAAATAATTATGTAAATTAATTTTTTATTGTTCAATAAGCTAATTCAGTTTACAGTTCCCTATCTGTTTCCTCTCTCTCTCTCTTTAGTAATGCATTGTTCTAAAGAAGCATAAATGAAATTAATTTTGTATTTCAGCATTTCCAAAAATATTTTATAACAATAAATTTTATTACCTACTACAGCTTATTTATATTTAAATTATTATAATAATTCATTTCTTTTAATTATACAATAACGAAATTTCAAAATTTCATTTTTTAATTTTTAAAAATTTATGCAAAATTCTTCTTCATCAAGAAATATTTTGTAATTTTCTACCTAATTTAATAATTTCTCTTAAAAATTAGATTTATAAAAAAGAAAAAATTAAAAATAAAACAGAACCCATTTTTTTTTCACCACTCACTTCTCTTTATAATCTTATCTTTTTCTCCTCCTTATAATCTCATTTTCATATTGCGGTATCCTTTTACTATTATAACAATTAAATATTTTTTTCCTAACAAGCAAGAATAAAAAATAAAAGGAAAAATTCAAGAAAGTAAAATAAAAAGAAAAAACTTTACTCTAATTTTATGAAAATTTACCACAATTAAAGAAAATTAAATTCTTGATATTTATGAAAAATATAAACAGAACCCTGAAACTTTACCCTGTTAACCTTTGACACATTCTTTAAGCTTAAAAATAGGGAAATAACAATAAATTCATGAAAAAATACAAACGACAACAAAAAGCAAAAGAAAATGAAAAGAAAAAAATTTCAGTTTTTTATCTCTTTCTGTATATATCCGTTTCTCTTCCTCTTTATCTTTAGTCTTACCAACATCTCTCATATTAAGATGACGGCGGCATAAAAAGGACAACAAAAAAATGATATTTAGCGAAATTCATGATTATAAAAAACACAAAAACAATAAGAAAAATGTAGAATAAGAAAAAGAGAAAGAAAGAAAGTTAAAAGATAGCTGAAATTCTCCCTATTCTTATAACTTTATTTATTTTAGTAGTACAAAATGTTCCGTTGAAGGAGAAATTAGAATTTTGAGCAACAATTACTTCCGTGATGAGCGAAATAAAATTTATTTTTTATTCCCTATCCATTTACGCATGATAAGTCGGTATTCAGTGTTTAAAATTGAAAAATATGGTTTTGGATAACAATATCTTAAAATCGAACGCCAACAGTACCTTAACTAAAATCTTATACCGCAATTTATTCAAAGTATAGGCGCTCTATATCGGAATTATCTCCTCTTCAAATTATGACAATTTCTCAATTTTCAAATCGTGAATAAAAACAGAGCTTTTGAAATTTTTATAAACTTTAAAATAACCTTGAACACCTTATTTTAATTTTTTGCATAAATATCTATGTAAAATATCCTCTTTATCCTAAATCTTCAAAACATGTTATAATATTGTTGGTTTTTTCTCTTCTTCGTTAAGGACGTTGACAGTGATGATATTCTTGTTATAGCTTGAGATATTCTACTTATCATTTTCTTATGGCATTCTCATTATTCTTATTATTTTTATAATTTTGTTTTTATTTTATTTTAAAAATTTTTTTGTTAGCATTTTCTTATTTCCTGTTTTTCTTTTTTCGTTTTATATTTTTACTCTGTATTAAGGACATTTTATGATAATTTTTTCAGGTTTGTTATAATGATTGACGAGAAAAACATCTCACAGAATAGTCAAGGATTATTGGATTCTGTTTTATTTCTTATATTCTTCTTTCTTTTAGTTCGGTCGGTCTTATTGTTGTTGTTTTTATTTTTGATATTATTTAGGTTGTTTTTATCATTTTCGGTTGATGCTAATGCGTTGTTTGTATATTAGCTCAGCAGTTTTTTAATTTTTTTGTTGTTTTTGTCTTCCTTTTATACTTTTCACTCCCTCTTCACAATATTATCTTTATATTGTGAATATAATATGTTTGTATATTTGTTCTGTTTATTATTTTGAAACATCATTCACTTTTTTTAATGGAATAAGGTATTATTTACATAAACAAGGAAGAATTTATAGTATATTATACGTATGTATGTTTGTATTATATAAGATATTATGAATGTGTGGATTTTTTATATAGGATTTTGCAATTATCCTTTTTTCCAAGTACACTTATACAATTTTTTGTGTTTATTCTTTTAAAAAACACAAAAAAGAAGAAAAATGACAAAATAAAATGAAATCATTTTGTAAATATAATTTAGCTGAGTGAAAAAATACAAAAAAAAAAGAGTATGACAAAAATACAAATTTTGTTTTTACCTAGATTGAAATTGATTTTTCCATTGATTCACAATTTATGTCACTTTAAAATATCATTTGTTTTCTGTTAGCCGAATAAAAACTATAAGAAGTTTTAAAAAGAAAAGAAGAAAATTTAATTAGTTCGAAAATATTGCATATTTTCAGGGTGTTGCTTTTCAAAAAATTGGTGATTTTAAGTAAACTCCAAGTTGATTCAATAATTTATATGTGTTACCCACCCTATTTCAATATTCGGTCAGAAATTTATTAGATTTTCATAAAAGAGTTGAGATTATAATCAATTTCTAAAACAAATGCGGAAATTTATTCAAAGAAATTTTAAAACCAATTAATACGAGTACCATATCTCAAAAAATTTTCTCAAACTAACGGACAAGTCGAATAAATTTTAAATCGAACGCAGAACAAAGAATTGTACAATTTTTTTAAAGATAGAGAAAGGTACAACGCTTTGTTCTAAATTTTAATCGCCCAACGTTAATATTTAAATCTAGAATTTCATAAAAATCTCAATAAGAATAAGAAGAAGATTTTTTAATTTTTTTCTCTAAACATAATTATAATAAGGATAAAAATATCTTTTATCCTTCAAAATATTTTTGTTTTTTCTTTTAATCTTAATTTTTTTTTAAAAAATCATTCTGCCAAATATAATGGTAGTTTAAAATTTATAATATTATTCTTAAGTTGTCTCAACACTAGTCATAGCTCTTTCGTTTCTTAAATATTTTCATACATGTACGCATACATATTTAAATTGAACAAAAACAATACATATTAATTTTGTATTCGTTTTAAATTATTTCAGAAGATGACAACTCATTTGGTTTATCACCGATTTTAGTTGGAATCGTTTTAACAATTATTGTCATTAGTTTAGCAGTAGCACTTCGTATATTTATCGTGACATTTCTTCAAAATTTAAGAAGAAATCGCGAAATGCAAGGAACCAAATGTGCACCTGGAAGTTCAGTAACACAAACAGTTAAAAATGATTCGTTTAAGGTAAGAATTAAAATCAATATATTTAAGACAGAGAAACAAACTCAATTGGTGTCAAACCTCTAGTGAAAAATATTCAAAATTATTGCAATGTTAGATTTAATCATACAAATAATTCGTAAATGAATACAAAATCTTATTTTTGCATTGTTTTTAAAATATGTTCAAATAAATTCGGGAAAACCAAAAACCGCCTCAGAACTACTTTTTTAAAGCTTAATTAAGATTTCAAGTAAATCAAATTTTGTTTTATGAATCAAGTTACAAATCGCCTTTGATTCCAAAACATTTTACAAAAATTAAATAACAACCTTTTTTATCTACCCTTCTTTGTTTTTCAATAGTATTCGTAATTAGCTGTATAATATTCTATACTAGAATGAATAGTTGTGGTATTGTTGAGAAATACAAGCTAAAAAAATGTTTGTGTTTCCTAAAATTTTTTGTAGCATAATTCGTATTGACTGGGCTCTTAATTAATTGGAAGTCGCAGGTCGGATAGAAAAACTTCTCATTAATTCTTTTCATTCCTGATTCGCTCTTAGTCTTATTCTTATAGAACTATTTTTTCCTCTATCAAGAAATTATCTTGTTCAACTAAATGTTTATGGAAACATAACATGGAAATATATTTATTCTTTATCACAATGAATTAAAAATTTTACAAAATTCTTATCATATTGCAAATATTTTAGACAACAAAAATATCACCTTTGAAACTTCGTTAGTTCCATGAGACTGTGATTAATTTTTCAATTTTTCTCCTGTCACATTGAAAATTTGCACCCATTCCAATATAGTATCAATTGCATGTGAATTACGCTTGATCACATGTAATCATAAATCATAATAATTATATACTAAATAATAATATCCTCACACTTTAACTTAACTTTTAACATACTCGATTAACTTGCTCATATAGTTTTACTCTTTTATTATTTTATTTGAATCATCCCTCGTACTTTTACTTCATACATTTGTCATGGAATTTAATTTAAATCAATGAATACCCATAAGGACAATGTTGTATTGGATACAAAACAAAAAAAAATTCTTATTATTAAATGCTCTTTTTCTCTTCTCCAAATTTTTTTTATTGTTATTAAAACACTCAAAACTTTTATATATTATTACTATTATTATTCTGTTTGAGACTTTGTCATCAAAACCAGTAACCAACTATTTTATAAAATCAAATTATATTATACTTGAACATACATGTATACACATTAAAAATACTCAAATATTGTAAGAATTCAAAACAGAAAGAATTAAATTAAAAACCAAAAACAAAAATCGAAAATAAAAATGACTGGACTGGACATATATTCAAGAGGATAGGGAACCCAGATGAAACACTAAACATTTATATAATGTCAGATTAATTCAACCAGAAATCTTAATTTGTCTCAAGAGAAAAATGTTGTCTTATTGTTTTACAAGAGTAGAGGGGAGCAAATCTTAACAAAAGAAAAAAAAACTTAGTCTTTTCTAATACAATAAAACAAAAGTAAGAAAAAAGGAAAAATTTCATTTCTTCTTTTGAATTTCTGAATTTCTTTAAATAAACGACATATTTTTTTGTTGAATTTCTTCTCAACAACTATGTAAAAACAAACAAGAAGTCATCAGAAACAAACTATGTAAGAATTAAAGACAACAAGCAAAAATCATTTGAAAAATTTAAGAAAAATATTTTCTAAATTTAGTTCAGCTCAATGAATCCTATACCTACGCACACATACACATTTGTAAATATGGATGACATATAGAGCATATAGAATAAATGGAAATAGCTAGTCCTTTTTCTTTTTTCAGTTTTTCTTTTGATTTCTTCAACATTTTTAAATATTTTGTGTCCTTTTTTATATTGAAAACTATTTCAATTTATTTTTCTCTCAACTTGGCCAATATTGTTCTCTATATTTTATATAGCCATACGATTTGAATTCTTCTTGAATTTTGTTTTCTTTTTTACTACTCGTACAAAACCATTTGATTCAATATTGTCATTTTCAGATGTCAAATTTTGTATATTTTTTTTTAACATAAATTCTAATACAGAGTTCATCAATACGTAGGAAATTTTGAGGGTCAGGAATTGAAAAATGTTGGCGATGCAATAATTTTTTAATAATAAAGCTTTGTGGACAACAATAGCAGTCCGTTACAAAATAATTCTTTAAAATATTTGGATTTGTGATTATCATTTCCAGGTGAATCTAATATGAAGAGAAAGAACAGAAAAATAAAACATTTGAATTTGTTTTCTTCTCTTTATGTTTGAAAATGTAGAACGGTTTACATTTGTACACAAATACAGAAATCTTAGAAAAAATTATTCTGTGATTCCTCTTCCTTGTTCCTCTTGTTCTTTATTTATGTATAATATTTTTGATTTAATTGGTTGACTTAACAAAGATTTTTCGTCTTATTTAACAATTACAATTTGAAAAAAATTCGCTATCAAAATTCTAATTTCTAATTGCAAAAAATGATTTCAAAAAAATTCGCTACCTCAATTCTAATTTCTAATTATTCTCTAAAAACATTTTTGATATTTCTGATACTCCCACAAGTATGCAAAATAAAAATAATTTCTCTAATTTGTCATTAATGATGATCTTGCCTAAGTTTCCAAAATATTTCATAAAATTGATACTCTCCCAAATAAAAGAGTCATCTTTGATCAGATAACCAATTATAAATAACTTTTATTAATATTATTTTAATGAAGCAATTTTATGAAATTGTAACACCACACTTTATTGCTCTTAAGCCTTTGATTCCTATTTGAAACCCTATATTAGACATGTCATTACATATTGTTCTTTAGAAAAGCTATATACTTCAACGCCATAACTTTATAAGCAGTAGTACAATGGTGGCATAACTATTTTAGAACTTTATAAATATAAAAATAGTCCACAATATTTTTTTTTCTTTTTACTATACTTACAAAACATTCAACAAAGTATTTTTACTTAAATGTGTACATGAGCTCACACATATACATATGTTTTTATGTTACAAAAAAATTACGATGAATTCTGATTGGAGTCGAAAAATTCATGGAATTTACTTTATATAGAATCCAGAGAGCATAATATAAAAAGGAAGAAAAAAATTTAAGGATAATAGAAAATTTTTTAGCAAAAGGAATAAAAAAAGTTAAAATTACTTTAGAAAATTTTAAAAGTTTTTCATCTTTTTTCACTGTTACTTTATACTTTGTTCCTCGTTATTTGTTATACTCTCCATCCGCCTCTACCTTAATGCTTATTAAAGATCGAAATAAATTTGTTAAGTACCAGATGAAAAAATAAGAAGCTATAGAAGAAATAAAAAAAAAGAAAAGAATGCAAATTGTATTAAAAAAAATTTCCTCCTCTTTTTATTCTACTTTACTTCTTATTATTAAGATAACTTTAAGTTATTATAATAGAATTAAAACAAAAAAGGATAATGTTAAAAGGAAGAATACGTACACATAAAAGTATTGAAACAAAATTCAACAAAAATAAAACAAATTTTTCAATGGAATATGGAAAATGTTTGTGTTTTGTGTTATTTTTTTTTAATCATAAATATTCAAAGTGGATTAGTTTCATTCATTTTTACATGAGAAAAGCACGCATTAAACAAAATATTTACTTTAACACAATATTTTTAATCATAAGATGTAAATTTGAAAATATTTTTTAGAGCAGATAATATTTGTAATTTATGTTTAATACGAAAATATCACGAAAAACACCTAGGAAGTAACAGGAAAGAGGATGCAAAGTAAAATAATTTCAAAGACAAATTAGGCACCTTAGTTCAAAGTTATAAATAACAGGGTAGTTTTCGTTTTGAATTTGAAATCCCGAAACAATCTGAAACGTCTAACTTTATTTTTGCTATTAAATCCTTCTTTGGTCAGATATGACACCATTACTAAGTTAATGTACAATTAAATTTACTTTCTTCAAGGCTAAAATCACTTTCGAAAACATTTTGAATTGTTATCTCTGATTTGTTTAAAACTCGTTTTAATACATAAGAAATATATAATACACTCAATATTTAATATTTTTTTAATTTATTTTTCTCTATATACATTAAAAAAGAGTGGCAATTTAGATAAGCCAAGATGGCAACATACTGACATTAAAACAAAATCTGTAGCTGATGAAATAGTTGAAGATGAAAGGGATCCAGATGTTATACCACAATATGGTAAGAATAATAATGAAAGTACAGTAATTCCAAACGTATTATAAAATGTTATTTATCATATTAGATCAATTAAATTTTTTCCCAGTTGGGGCTGGAATTACATCAACATCATCAACTGAACATCATTATACACCGCCACCATTAACAAAATGGTCTCCTAATAATCCGAATGTAAGTTTATATAAAATTCAAATGTTACTTGCATTTATTATTATTTAATTGAACAACATTACTTACATACAATTTATTTAAAAAGCAATTTACTTATTATGTTTTATTAATTTTTACTCTTATTTAATTTAGCATGCAATTTTTGATACTGTTCTACAAGCTAATGTTATGAACAGTAATACAACTACAATTCCTCATGCATATAGTCAACTTAATCAAAGAGGTGGTGTTAATGCTAATGTAAGTGGTGTCGGTGTTGGTGTTGGTCCAATGCCAATTTTAAATGGAACATTACCATCATCACGTAATTCTATGCATAATATGGGTATTATATCACCAAATAGTAATAGTAATTTAAGTATTACTTGTGGTATTAGTGGTGGTGGTGTTATTGGCGGTAGCGGGAATATTAATAATACGACAAGTGGTATAACAACAAATGTTATACAAAATGCATTAGCTGCAACAACAGGTGGTTTAACTGGAAGTGGTAGCTCTAATTTAATACATACTGGTACCATAAGTTCCAATATGAATCCTCATCATAGAACAACAATAACAACTGGTGTAGGTGGTAGCGGTGGTAGTGGTGGCGGTGGAAATAGTGGAATTATTAGTAGTAGCGGTGGTAGTGGTGGTGGTACATTAGGTCGTTTATTACCAACAATACAACAACATTCAAATAGCGGTAATTATATTACAACAACAACAACAAATTCTACATTAAACAATACAATAAATAATTTAAATAATAATAATGGATCATTGAATGATCTCGAAGATAATATTAATATAAATGCTATTAAAGATTGTTTAATGACACAACGAGTACCAGAGAGTTGTGTTTGAGTTTTTGAAAGATTTGTTTAGATAATATTATTATAATAATATGTAGCTATAAATATAGCTTTTTTTTTATACAAAAACACATACACGCATATATATATATATATATATTTACATAAATAAATTAATTATAATTTTCCATTTGATAGTTGGTATTCAAATATTGTGCAGTTTATCCTTGAAAATTGTTTTATATTACCGGTTAAAGTTTTCGAATTTATCAATTACTAACAAAGCTCTTATCGAATTAAATGTTTTCTATTTTTTATAGATTTTTATATCTCATTAATTGAAATTTCAAAAAATTTTTACAACTAAATCGAAAATCAACGCATACCTGAGAAGGCGATTCAACAAGAACTAATACTTAATTAAATTGGATCAAAATTTGTGACATATTATTTTCGAATTTCTTCATTACAAGAAACCAACTATCAATTTAAATAAATCAAAGAAAACTATCCAATAAGAGAGATCAGTTTTCACTTTCCAATTTTAGAGTGACCATTTTATATAAAGACATAAACTTTTGGCTTTTCTCTCTTCCTGAAATATAATCCTTTTAAGTTGACATATCTATATCAAAGTTTTACACTGTCATTCTAGTACATAATTACAATGTATCAATACCATACATACTTTTAATTATAAAAACATATATGTACATATATATATATATACAAATTATACTTGTATGTTATAGAAATAAACTCATTGACATTAAATACAATATTGTACTATAAAACAAAATGTAGATAAAAATTTCTAGGAGAATAAAAAATTAAGTAAAATAAACTATTGATTTTATATTATAGAAATAAAAATAATAATAAAATTAAAATTAAAGAAAAAAACACAAGTATTTATTAAAGAATCATAATTAAATTAATTAATAACTAATTAAAACAAAAGAAAATAAATTTTGAAGTTTTTTAAGTTTGAGAATCTATAAATAAAATTAAGAGAATTAAAATAAATTTAAAAATAAATAGTAAAAAAAAAATGTTTTATATATTTAGAATTTAAAAATTAAATTTAATAAAAAAAAAACAATATTTAAAATAAGGTTATAGAATTATTTAACAAAAGATCAACTAGAATAATAAAAATAATAAACTAAGTGTTAAAAAAAAAAATTTACTACTCGTACTACAAAAAAATGAGTTAACTACAGTCTCCTTAAAATTTCTCCTTTTTTACATTATTTCTTACCTTACAATCTTAAAATGAACAGAAATTATTTAAGAGGCAATAGAAATAAATCTAAATTTCAATTTTCATATGGAGATTAATTCAAAGTAGATTTTTAACAATATACAATGCATACATTAATGCCTAAATAATCCTATTTCGAAAATGAGGGTAATAGAAAATATGTGGAAAAAATATTAAAAGATATTATAGCAAAAGGAAAATCTGCCGCGGCTGATATATAGTTGAGGCGAACTACGAGAACATTTAATAAACACTTTCTTATATTACTGAATAGAAACTTATAAGTGAAATACTCAAAATATATTCCCAAGTACTGAAGCGAAAGTCAGTTTGCATTTCACAATATTACCAAGTACTGAAGCGCTAGCAACTTCGGTCATACTTCATTTGTTTGTAACACAAATTATGTCTAATAAAACACATGAATGCTAAATGTAACCAGATTTTAATTGAAATTCTAATTATAAAAGTTCAGTTGAAAAATTGTGTTTATTCCTTCTTGTTTTATAAAAAACGAGAGAAATGTTTAATTGCTGTTTTATAATAGAATAACAACTTAATAATAAAAAAGTTTTAAACCTAGTTATGTTTTATATACTAGAGAAAAATGTTTTACCGAAATTTTTAGAAATTTCAGAATATTTTCATTTTTTAGATTTTTATAATTTCCAAAATTTTATTTTCTAGAATATACTAGGAAAACTTAAATTCTATTTTACACGCTTCGGGATAACATCACATTTAAACTCAGCATAAGAGGAAACAAATTGCTATTAATATTTGAATGCATATGCCCTGCTTCCTTTAAGTATTTATAAATAAAAAGAGAACATTCTAATTTATCGATTAGTTTGGTAATTAACATTTTAATTCACAATTAAGAAAAAAAAACTGTCAATTAACAACCGAGTAAAAATCCAGTAAAAATGCAAAAAATTTATGTTTACTGACATGCAGGACACACGTTTTCAATGAACTTTCATCCTACTACCATTGCATATGCAATTCATCATCTTTATTTTAAAATGAAACTTAATTCTACACTCTTCTCTTATTAACTTTTTTTAATTGATTCTTTAATTATTATTTCCATTTTTAAAATTTAATTACCCTCATTTCTTACTCTTATAATAATAATTTTTTATTGCCCTTTTAATAAAAAAAGAAAATTATAGCATAAAAATAGGACACGTTAAGTATAAATTAGAAAAATATTACAAAAGGTACTAAAAAAAATTCTTTTTCTGTATAATACTTCTGTGCACTGCCATAAAATTTTCCATATCTATATACATATAACAATATACAAAATATTAATTAAAGAAAATTTTCAGAAATTTTTCTATACAAATTAAGAACAAAATTTTTTTTTTGTTAATTTTACAAAATAATTTTTTTAAAAAAAACTGATTAAATACCATTTACATATTCATAAACATACATATATTCATCATAGATATATACACATATATACATTTGTATGCAAAATGAAGTTCTTGATTACTACATAATAATTACATTATATAATACAAGTCTTCATTAAAACAATATCACATAAATCTTCCATAATAGATAATATTAAAAAATAATATTCAAAATCAATAAAGTACATTTTACAAAATAAATTTTTTTTCTTTTATAAAATGGAAAATCGTACTAAAAATTAATTACAAAAAAATATGATGTTAAACTACCGAAATGTACTTTAAAAGAAATTATACTATAATTTTTTTGAAAATAATGATTCGCACCCTTGTCGAACGTATATCTCAAAATTTAGTGATTCAGGAAATTTGATGTCATGATTGTCAAAAAAAAATCATGTCAAGATTGAAAAAAAAAATTTTATAAGAACACCAAAGCCTCTACTTTTTGTTGCTGCAACCAACAATTCCAAATACTTTCAATATTTTAAATATTGGAAGTATTAACACTTTATCGACCGGTACCCTATTTATCGGCTTTGCGATCCCTTACACTCATCGACCGGTAGCCTATTTATCGGCTTTTCGATTGCCAGCGCTTATTGACCGGTAGCCTATTAATCGGTTTTTGGTTATCAACGGTTTTTGTCAGTGGGTTGCTCTTTTTATAACTTCGCAACGACAACGTTGCAAAATAAACAAATACAAAATAAATATCAATTTAGTATAAATATCAATAAAATTCCATTACTTTAAAACAAAAGGAATAAGCACAACACAATGCGTAGTGGAAATTTAGCCGGTACTGGGAGTAAATTCGGGCGTGATTTAGCCAGTACTTACTGAGTGGCAGTCTCAACCACAACCGGTCGATAAAGTGTTAAATGTTGGAAAATATTTGAAGCAAATTTTTCTTATTCTAAGGAGAATAAAATATTAATGGACTTTATGTGGATATTTAGTAATTTTTAAGATTATTTAATAATCAAGTAACGTCAAATACAGTAAGTGAAAATATAAATACACTTTTTAAAAATTTTATAATCAACAATATCATGCAGTCTTCAATTTAGTGTTTGAAATCTCATACAAAATCCCTTATTTACAAAATTTATCCCTCAAGCTATGCAAAAATTATCCTGCAACAAAACTAGGTAGCTACACTAAAAAAAATATGTAAAGTTGTCAAATATCATTTCGAAGATCATATTTCTGATTTGTAAATAAAATATTTGATGACTCTTAATATTTTTACTTAAAGTGGAAATACGTTTTATCTCTACACAACATAAGTATACTACAATACTTCTTAAAATTATGCTCTAAAATTATTTCAATTTTATGGATAAAATAAAACTAAAAGAGATAAAAATAGCTCTTTTGACAATAGTCTTTCTGTGTTTTTAAAAAAACAATATATCTGAATAAAAAATATTTTGACGGACACAAGTTTATCGGTATTCGAATAAAAAAGTTACTAAATGAGAAAGAATTTATTAGTAATTTGCTATAAATATTTCTCAATTCCTCGAAAAAATATTTGAAATTTGACTAAAAAATAGATACGAAATTACTGTAGGTCATTCAAAAATTTCTTTTACTCTAAAAAGGTAATTTATTTTCATGAATGTCTAAAAAAGAAAACTTATTTGTGAACAGTATATTTATAAAATTGTTTTGAACTATATTCAAAATAAAAATAAAGAGGTAGAAAATAAATTTTTGTGAAAATTAGCTATAGAGTGTGGTTTTCGTAATTTCGGATATAGTCGTGATTCTGGATATAGTTTCTAAAGATAAAATTTTTCTCATTAGCAGTGTCTGCAGCAAAATAAAATTAATGACTGCGCATTTTTCATAATGACAGAAAATTTTTCTAATATGCCTCCGTACACGTTTTGGGGGTGCGAATTATTTCTTTCAGAAATTTACCTTTTTTGCTTCTTCAATAAAATTAAATTTTATCTTTAGTGCTAATAAAAATAAAATAAAACAAAAATTAAAACACCGAAATTTTACTAAAAATTTTTTCTATACCAAATGTAATTTTTAATTTTTAACACCCTATTTTTAATTTTTGTTAATCACGTCATATAGAACAGAAACTGTAGTTGTACTCGATTATATAAGTATTAAGGAAGAAAAAAATAAAACAAATTTTTTTGTATAAAAATTATAATAAAAAATATAGAAGAACAATAATTAACAAAAAAAAAATTATTAATCGGGGTATTTATTTAAAATTTATAATATTTATTAAAAACAAAAAAAAAACTAAAAACACAAAAAAAAAACTAAAATTATAAGTTAAAAATAATGACTGTTAAATGTGAGTTATTAAAAAAAAAATTAAAAAAAAAAAAATATATAAAAAATATTTAATTATTAAAAGTGTTTGTTTTTGTTAGTTTTCCTATTTAAGTTTCAATATATTAAAAAGCTGGTGGTATATAAGTTTTTTAAAAATTATATTTAATAAATTAAAATAAATTAGTAAAAAAAAAAATGAAACAAAAATGTTATAGAACAATAAAAATGCAATTGAACGACACAAAAAAATTTTTTTTTTTAAATTCACTTTTTATTTTTACTAATAAAAATTTTTACAAAATAATTAATTTACATATTTATTAAATAAATATGTGTCTATATTAAAATAGAATTTTTTTTTTATAAATTTGTATTTTGAAAAATTATATTAAGTATTTTAGAGGATTAAATTCAAATTTTATTTAATATGGATTCAATTGTATAATAAGTACAATAACAATAAATTAATAAATTTATATTTGAAAAAAGAAAAATAATATTAAAAATTTGTTTTACAAAAATATCAATAATAATAATTACAATAATGATAATAATAATAATTATATAACAGACCTCAAAACGTATTCATTTCAAATATATTTTATTTATGTAGACTTTCGAATAATTTAATTAAAAT